GATAGCACATTTTGCCTAGAATCAATTTTTGTGATTTAGAAAAATAATCAATAAATTTCTCTAATTTATGCACATATTTGAATAACACGGGGTAAATTTTTGCGAAAAAATGCTTATTCAGCACTTTTTTGGGAAAAGCATGGACCATAGTGACATGAAACTTTGTCAAACGCATTGAGAGAGATGAAATTAATGAAAGTCCCAATAAAAACTGGAAATAGTTGAGAAATATGACCAAATTAAAAAAAAGTGGTACTCCAGAATGGGCGATAATAGGGTTAACCCAACTAATTGTTATAACATGCGTATTCCCATACAAACGATCTGTCTTCAAGAGAAAACTAAGATTTGTGGACATGTTTTGCTATCATTGCATCATACCCAAGTATGTCCCCTGTCAGTCAAAAAAGTTTGAATCAAAACTCCCCACGAAAATCAAAAGATCTCACCTGTTGAAGACGCCATCTATAGAAAATGTCAAAAAATGTCATTCTGATTTTGACAGATGGAGGCAGGTCAAAAAGGTCAAATTTTTTAAAGAAAATGCACCTTTATCACATCAAATCATGTCTCAGAGTTGGTCCACACATACACTTTTTCATTCATGTACTTACCAAAATCCAACCACTGGTGATGCTAATGTAATTACAATAATTGGACTATATTTTTGTTTTTATAATGCCATCTATTCGTCTTCCCACTCGGCGGAAGGATCTAATGGTTGTGTGTCTCCTAGTAGTCACCCATCCTTTAAGTTACAATTGTAATTTCCTCCAAAATGTAACCCCAAGTTGTTTTCTAGTAAAATAATACAAACCGCAAGCAGATTCGACTATTTTTCCCAGATATATGAATGATTAAAGTTACCCATCCCCTTTCTGCAATTAGATGTTTTCCTGGGATATTGACTAAAATTGGAACCTATGGCTAGATGTGTTGTGAGGTGTCTAGTTTGAGATGGGGAGGTAGTACAGAGCTGAATGAGCTATATCTGGAAAGCACATTTTGCCTAGAATCAATTTTTGTAATTTAAAGAAATAGGCAATTAATATCTCTTATTTATGCGCATATTTAATAACACAGGGTAGATTTTTGCGAAAAAATGCTTATTCGACACTTTTGGGAAATAGTACAGACCATCGTGACATTAAACTTTGTCAAATGATAGAACAATTCATGTGTTATCAATTACATAAACAAATTGTAATCATTATTATTGCTTCTGAATGTTTACAGAGAAATATTTAGTATGGAGGATACAGAAAAATTGGTCATTTTCTCCAGTTGTTGTTCTACCCTGGGGAATATTCATCAAAGAAAACCAAAACAACACACATTTCCAATTATAGGTCTCCCAATTGATAAATGATCATTCTGAACACTGTATTTGATTACTTAGGGTTAAGTCAAGGTTAGGATTAGGGGTTAGGGTTAGGCTTGGGCTTAGGGTTAGGCTTTAGTTAGGACTAAGGGTAGTGTTGGGGCTAGGGTTAGGCCCTGGCTTAGGGTAAGGCTATAGTTAGGGTTAGGGGTAGTGTTGGGGTTAGGCTTAGGCTCTAGCTTAGGGTTAGGCTATAGTTAGGGTTAGTGTTGAGGTTAGAGTTAGGGGTTAGGGTTAGGCTCTGGCTTAGGGTTAGGCTATAGTTAGGGCTAATGTTGGGGTAAGGGGTTAGGGTTAGGGGTTAGGGTTAGACTCTGGCTTAGGGTTAGGCTGTAGTTAGGGTTAGGAATAGTGTTGGGGTTAGGGTTAGGGGTTAGGCTCTGGCTTAGGGTTAGGGTTAGGCTATAGTTAGGGTTAGGGGTAGTGTTGGTGTTCAGGTTAAGGGTTAGAGTTAGGCTCTGGCTTAGGGTTAGGCTATAGTTAGGGTTAGAGATATTGTTGGGGTTAGGGTTAAGTCATGGCCAATGATTTAGCCTTCTAGAGCAAAATTTGTGAAAATTCCAATAAAAATCATGGAAACAGTGGAAAATATGACCAAAGTAAAAAAAAGTTGACTCCTGGTTGGAGCCTATGACGGATGTGTTGGGAGATGTCTAGTTTGAGCTGGGGAGGTATTACAGAGCTGATTGAGCTATATCTGGATAGCACATTTTGCCTAGAATCAATTTTTGTGATTTAGAAAAATAATCAATAAATTTCTCTAATTTATGCACATATTTGAATAACACGGGGTAAATTTTTGCGAAAAAATGCTTATTCAGCACTTTTTTGGGAAAAGCATGGACCATAGTGACATGAAACTTTGTCAAACGCATTGAGAGAGATGAAATTAATGAAAGTCCCAATAAAAACTGGAAATAGTTGAGAAATATGACCAAATTAAAAAAAAGTGGTACTCCAGAATGGGCGATAATAGGGTTAACCCAACTAATTGTTATAACATGCGTATTCCCATACAAACGATCTGTCTTCAAGAGAAAACTAAGATTTGTGGACATGTTTTGCTATCATTGCATCATACCCAAGTATGTCCCCTGTCAGTCAAAAAAGTTTGAATCAAAACTCCCCACGAAAATCAAAAGATCTCACCTGTTGAAGACGCCATCTATAGAAAATGTCAAAAAATGTCATTCTGATTTTGACAGATGGAGGCAGGTCAAAAAGGTCAAATTTTTTAAAGAAAATGCACCTTTATCACATCAAATCATGTCTCAGAGTTGGTCCACACATACACTTTTTCATTCATGTACTTACCAAAATCCAACCACTGGTGATGCTAATGTAATTACAATAATTGGACTATATTTTTGTTTTTATAATGCCATCTATTCGTCTTCCCACTCGGCGGAAGGATCTAATGGTTGTGTGTCTCCTTATGCATTTTCAATATTAGTTTTGTAAAATTATTTTTTATTTTGCAAAATTATTTTTATAATTCTATACTTTTGGAAAATTATTTTGAAAATAATATTTTGAATTGCAAAAGTCCCATCGTATTTTATAAAACTATTTTTAAAATCTGTAAACTAATTTGATTTCTTTAAAGTAATCTAGGTATTTTTCCATAAATATAAAAAATAAATAAATTGAAAAATGAATTTCGAAATTACAAAAATCAAATCCTGTTTCATTCAAGTTTTTAGATTTTAGATAAGTATTTTGTGAATTTTTATAAGTTTTTTAGATTTAAAACAGAAAAATCGATTTTTCATTTAATATTTTGATATATTACAAAACTAAAATTGTGTTTTATTAAAGTTTTTAGATTTTATATAAGTACTTTGTGAATTTTTATAAGTTTTTTTGAGATTTGAAAAATTAAAATTGATTTTTTTTTAATTTGAAAAATATGTCCCTTTTAAAGCTTCGTACTCCTATAATCCGTTATCAGGCTCTCGATATGACTTCTATTGATACAATAAGTCTAACATTTATCATTTGAAGTTGTCGAAAAAGTCAATAAATTGGGTCAACATAAATATATTTCTATCAGCTTTAGAACAGTATATGGAGTATTGAAATGATTGCATTATTAATGAAAATATTAACATTAGAGGGATATAATGGTAGTTACTCCAAAATCGAAGTGACATTACAAAAGTCCCGTTTATCGATTGAAATAATTGAATTATCTACTCATTTGTGTATCATCCATGCATAGTTCGAGTAGTATTTTAAAGTAAGACTTACTATAAAAGTTTTCTCCTTTTGGGCCGTCCTCTATGTTGGTTGTCTCTTATGATATGTGATATGTAGAATATAGAGCCAAGGTCAGATCAGATGAGATCACCGAGAATTAATTCGCCTTCGGTACTTGCCCAAGAAAATCTGTATAAGAATGTATTTTAAATGTGATTTAATTGATTACATACAACATTTTCATCATGCGAACTTACCTTTCAATCCTTTTCGGAGTATATGTTTTCGAAAGAATTGAATTTAATGTTAAATATGTTTATCATAAATGTTTAAGAGTACGATGGTACATCAGGGCCTCTGCAACTACCGGCGGTGATCGAATACACAGAATAGATTAAAGTATGTTTATCTTTTACAGAATACTCTTGTATCAGATGCTGGCACAGTTTTGCCGGAAGTTTGCAAGAAGTAACTTTTGGCAATGCAGTATGTTAGAGTAATCTAGTAGGTGTAAGAAAATATTAGGTGATGGCCTTTAAAGTGGTAAAAACAAATTTCACGGCCGAATTGGACTTCAATTCCTGCGATTTCAGGGGGTACTATAAGACTATTTCATAACATAAAGGATATAGTTGCTATTGTTCTGCTTTCTACAGCACACATTACTAGTCCAAAGGTGAATAATATCCTAAAGTTATAGGCCAATATCTGTATTAGTCTCAGAAATATTGCAATTAATAGGAAAAAAATACGCAATTTTAGTCATTTTTAAGTCTCACATATCTTATATTTGTAGCTTCCAGCAAAAGATGGCAGCTTAAATAGCTCAGTATTGTTTTCTAAAAACTAATTCAAGCTTTGTTTGATATTGTAATACAATTATAATAATGATAATGTACTATTTATGATTTTTAATATGACTTTATAGTACCCTACCCCTGGAAAGTGGGCGTGGTCAATGTTATCATTTTGCAGCATACAATTAAAAACTTGTATTGATAGAAAGCAAATCAATGCATATAAAACATCTTCACTTGTTACTTGACAATGTAATTCATTTATTATTAAAATATAGGACTCTTCATATTTTATATATACAATTCCAATTTTGTACAATGTATCATAATGAAATCTAATAGGCTGTTTCAATTTACAAACTTTTTCTCGGATCACCCTTACCTTTTGACAAAATGATCTACTATATGACCAATAGCCACAAAAAACAGCTGAACTGATCAACGTTTAACCCCCCCCCCCTACCCCTATGTTTGTTTTGTATGGGGTCCGCCACAATGCAACAAGTCCATTTTCAGTGTTTACTATCACATGGAATATAAGTCACAATGTTTCCACAATATCTGGGCAATGAGATTAATTGCCATTAAGAATATGTATGCCCAGATTCAAGATCATGGTGTAAATGTTTGCCGATCTATCAGCTTTCAAAAATGAGGAAAGCTGTCGTGAGTGCCGTTTCAACTAATTTTGAATTAAAACTGCTACTTATGAATTTTTTTCTCATTAACTGTGATTTGGTTAGAGTCCAAACACAGGATATCAAGACATAGTGCTACCAAATTCTGGTATTGAACATTTCAGAGCTCTAGATCAAGTATTCATATCTGCATGGACTCTTAAAAAGACCCAAAAGACACAAAATGCAGTCAGATATTGCGAAAAAATGTGACAAAATGCACTATTCAGAACAATTTATCTCTTAAATTTTACTTTTATTTACCATAATTTCTGATTCTGCCTCTAGTTAGTAATACCAATAATACATATGAGTAGACTTAAGGTCATAGTAAGTGTAGTTACAGATTTATTAGCATCTAAAAATGGGAGAAGCAGTGTAGCAAGTGCAATTTTCACCTATAATTCATAATATTAAACTGCAGCTTTCAGGATTTTCTTCTCTAAAACAAGAATTCCGTGAGACCCAAAAGACAGGATTCCATATCACTGTACCACCAAATATATATGAGAGTAGTTTCAGGAGGTTATATCAAAGAATCATTGAACCATTGACACCTAAAAATATGCAAAATACAGTCAGAAATGGTGAAATTGTGATTGTGAAAAAAATGTATGTATTCTTAACAATTTTTTAACTAAACTGTATTTTATTTAGAACTGAAACTTGAAGTGCTTACTAGGAGTTACATCTAGTTATTATTTATTAAGTGACTTCAGCATCCGGATTGATATAATATAGGAATATCCTATGGTTTTGAAAAAATATCATTTATATCCATGAGTGGATATTGATATTTTCATGAGTGATTTATCCCATGGGAAATCATCATCAGTGAAAAAATGTGAAAAATATAAATCGAGAAAAAATTTGTAAAAAAATTGTGAAAAAATTTCAAAAGTGATATTCGATGGTTTGTGAATTTTTTGCTAAAATATTATAACTTGATCCACATATTAAATATATATTCATGTGATATTCGATCTATATCCTTGCAACCATGGGATAATTATAGGATATCCTATGATTTTGAAGAATATCATTTTTATCTACGAGGTGATATTGATATTTGCACAAGAGAGCGAAGCGAATGAGTGCATATATCAATATCACCGAGTAGATTAAAATGATATTCTGAAAAAAATCATAGGATGTTCTTATTATCCTACACTTACAAGGAGTGTACTGAATGTATAATGTCATTGTAAAATGAATTTCATGCCAAATAGAGTCAATTTGGCGGGAAATCAACAAGCGAAGTATATCGTCACAATATCCTCCGCATATTGGGTTTTCCGGAGTATATCGTCATGATATCCTCCGCCCGGAGTATATCGTTACGATATCCTCCGGTTATTCATTTTGCCAATAAATATCAAATTTATTTTTTCATGTTATTATACACTTAGTACACTAAGTGTAGGATAATCACTGATATTTTAAGACCAAAAAACCTATAAAGAATGTTATTATTGAATACTGAGAATATATTGTTTTTACATTACGGAGCTTTATTTCTACCTGAAAGTATTTTGGAACATATCTCTTGCTTAAATATTTCATGCAATGTTACTTTCAAAAACTTTCTTAGAACAATTAGTCCATCCTATACTTTCACATGTTATTCTCCATTTCGTTTTTAAAAATTGTGGGAGCTTTAAACTCTAGAAGAGCTTAATTACATATATATGTACCAATTATACCATGCACCCTCTTTGCCCTCTGTCGCATTTTTCTTAGAATGGCCAGGCATATTTCAAATTGAAGAGTAAAGTCAGTTAAAGTGATATATAGCTGTATATAACAACGTATCTTTCACTTGATACTGTGATGTCAAGCTTAAGCATTCAAACAGTGTATTTTGTACCAAGATACAATAAAGTACTGATTTCATTTATTTATCAATTCAGATGCCTTGGAATTAAAGTAAACACTTGGTATATATTACCAATATTATTTTTACCTATTATTGGTGGTACAATGACCAGGTTTCCTTTAATGTCTTTGGTCTTACTGTGCAGTTTGTAAAAAGAAAATTCAGAAACTTGCAGTCTTGATGAAAAACTGGTGAAAATCATACTTGCTACAGCTTTTCCCATTTTCAGAAGCCAATAGATCTGTACTTCCACTTACTTTGACGTTAAGTCTTCTCATATGTATTATTGGTGGTACTAACTGGAGGCAGAATCAGAAATTATGTCAAATAAAAGTAACATTTAAGAGATAAATTGTTCTGAATAGTGCATCTTTCATATTTTTCACGATATCTGACAGTTTTTTGGTCCTTTTGCCTCTTTTTAAAAGTACATTCAGAAGTGAATATTTGATCTAGAGCTCTGAAACTTCCAATATCAGAACTTGGTAGCATTATGTCTTGGTATCTTATGTTTGGGGTCTAAAAAAGTCACAGATGTTGAGAAAAATAATCATTTAGCACCAGTTTCAGTTCAAAGTTAGTTAAAACTGCACTCACGACAGCTTTCTCTATTTTTGAACGCCGATAGATCGGTAAGTATTAGTATTAAGACCTTGAAACTGCTCATATTATGTAGTCTTTGTGGTACTTTCTCATTGCAAAGGTAATTTGGAAACACTGTGACTTACATTTCATGCGTTAGTGAACAATGAAAATGAACCAGCCTATTAGATTTCATCATGATACATTGTACAAAATTGAAAACGTATATATAAAATATGTAGAGTCCTATATTTTAGTAATGAATGAATAACAATGTCAAGTAACAAGTGAAAATGTTAAAAATGCATTGATTTGCTTTCTATCAATCTAAGTTTTTAATTGTATGCTGCAAAATGATAACATTTACCACGCCCACTTTCCAGGGGTAGGGTACTATAAAGTCATATTAAAAATCATAAATAGTACATTATCATTATTATAATTGTATTACAATATCAAACAAAGCTTGAATTAGTTTTTAGAAAACAATACTGAGCTATTTAAGCTGCCATCTTTTGCTGGAAGCTACAAATATAAGATATGTGAGACTTAAAAATGACTAAAATTGCATATGTTTTTCCTATTAATTGCAATATTTCTGAGACTAATACAGATATCGGCCTATAACTTTAGGATATTATTCATCTTTGGACTAGTAATGTGTGCTGTAGAAAGCAGAACAATAGCAACTATATCCTTTATGTTATAAAATAGTCTTATAGTACCCCCTGAAATCGCAGGAATTGGAGTCCAATTCGGCCGTGAAAATTGTTTTTACCACTTTAAAGGCCATCACCTTATATTTTCTTACACCTACTAGGTTACTCTAACATACTGCATTGCCAAAAGTTACTTCTTGCAAACTTCCGGCAAAACTGTGCCAGCATCTGATACATCTACAAGTATTAGCTTTTAATAGGTACGGTGTGAAGCTGTGTGATCTGTTTATGATTTGTAGAATACCATGGTACCTCAGGGCCTCTACAAATATTAGCTTTTAATAGATACTGTGTGAAGCTGTGTAATCTGTTTATGATTTGTAGAATACCATGGTACCTCAGGGCCTCTACAAGTATCGACTGTGGATAATGTTGAATGCATAAAGTATGTTTACGACGCAGCGGTTGAAGTAGGGCTTAAGACGACAGAGGATTATAATGGCGAAGATCAATTGGGTAAATCATTTTCAGTTTCATCCAGTCTTATCTTTAAAGATATATTTGAAGTAATACTGAAAAAGTGAAAAGACTTGTGGATTGTTTTTATCGCACTTTGAATAATAAGTGTGATATTTATCATTGTTTGTCTTGTTGATATAATGTTTTTAGTGTTTGCAATATCATATATAGCAGTGTAGAGGATCAAATGTATCATTTGACTTTAACTTGTTCCACAGTAATATTCACAGTATTGACTAAGTGAAACGTCCACAATTTGAATAAACCATGGACTTCAAAGATAGTTTCACTGGCAATGCAGTTGTTTTCAATTGTACACTTGTTCCCAATACAATTGCATTTACAACCATCAGTAAATTCCAATCATTCTCATCGGAATATACATAAAGATTTATTGTTATTATTTCAGAAACGAGTGTACCCCTTCCCCGATTGTACGGGGGTTGTCCAAAGAGTTTTTTAATCAAAAGGTTTTATTTCATAAATACAAACAAATATACAATGAATAGACAGGGTTGGGTACAAAGAGTCTTGAATTTTTTGCTCTCATACAGGGTGTTAAAAAACGCAACCCAAAGAAATCGCTATATCTTGGAAAATACTAATCCAATTGTGTTTATTTTTCAGGAAAAGAAAGAAACTATGAATGTATAGCTGTTGTTATTTAGTTGTAAAACATGATGCCTTGGCTACCTGCTCAAAAGACATTAGTATTAAAAAATACGAAAGACGCGAATGGAAAATCGCTATATCTTGGAAAATACTAATTCAATTATGTTCATTTTTCAGGAAAAGAAAGAAACTATGAATGTATAGCTGCTGTTAGTTAGTTGTAAAACATGATGCATTGGACAACTGTTCAAAAGACAGTTGTACTAGGAAAATACGAAAAACGCAGTCAGAGACACTGCCACAGCAATAAAACCAGATAACTTTCTAACCATATTGTTTTGGTACTTCAGATTTGACACAAATTATCCTCATTCTATATGTGGTGAATTTGTAGAGATTCATCAAAATCACTCCAGGGACTTTACAGTCATGGTCAAAATGCCTTCTTATGTCTGCCTGAATCAGGGCGTTTAACTGCAATTTGAAAGCATTTCAACTATGACTGTAAAGTCCCTGAAGTGATTTTGATTTCACTCTTCAGATTTACCATACATTGAATGAAGATGATTTGTGCCACATTTGAAGAGCCAAAACACTATGGTTTTTGTATTTTCCTAGTACAACTGTCTTTTGAGCAGGTGTCCAAGACAACATGTTTTTCAACTAACCATCTGCAGGAGCTACTAGTATACATACACAGTCTCTTCTTTCTTTCCTGAGAACAATGAACATAATTGAACCCAAGGAGGATTGGCTCCCAGAATCGAAGTCGATATTTTCCAACAATGAAAACGCCGAGATGTCGTTATTTTCTGAAATTTTAACCGATTATAAATTCAAAATAAACAGTTCAGAAGATTCGAACCAATATCTCGATCATTTCCTGTGAGTTTTGGAATTTTTCGTTAGGAAATAAGACCAAAATTCACGATTCAAATGTTGAAGTGAACAAAATGGCGGCTGTTGGAATTCAAATTTTGTAGCACGACATGCCCATATATGGGACAGAATATCGATGTTGCACTCTGGGAGCCAATCCTCCTTGATTGAACCAGTATTTTTCAAGATATAGCGATTTCTTTGGGTTGCGTTACAACACCCTGTATCATCAATTTTTATATATCATATTTCAAATGGATGATCTTTGAACAGTTGTAGTTCACTTTCAGTTTTTAAAGTTTGAAGTAATTACACCACATTGTGTATTTTCATGAATATCATCAATCCTATGTATACAAAACTTATTGATTTTGATGTTACATGAATTCACCGAAACAACCTGGCAGCGATTTTCATTTCATGGGACCTTTCATGGTGTATTATAGAAAATCCCAATTTCGATCAAATGTGGTCATGAATCGCTACAATGTTCTATCTACCATATCGTCAATTATAACGGAATCATGGGAATCTGATCAAATACTTAATAGAGACAACGGCACATGGTAAGATGTGAAAACGGACTAAGGTGGATGTATTGCATGGCAACATAGGAGCATGATGCGCTACTGCCCGCGATGATTTTGAATCTGTTGCAAAAATGACTGCCATTCTGAAAATTTGTTGAAACAATGTCTCTGGTTCAAATGTATCAACTGTTCCTTCAAAGTCAGGACCATTTTGATAATTTCCTTTCGCCATTCAGGGATATTTCTACGAGCTTTAATGTTGCATTGAATTCAATGGAATCGATGTTTTAGTTGTTTTTCATGAGCCATGTGTGTAAAGGTGATGGTGAATCCCTTGGTTGCTATAGCAACCATACCACACAAGATCTTACATATTATATTATGAGGGATGTTTTTGTAAATGAACTTACAACTTACAGTTTCAGCAAGAATCGATAAAATCTGATGAAATGAGAGCAAACAATTCAAGACTTTTTGGACGACCGTCGTATTAATGAATACTGCATTTCCAGCGAGAAAAACATTGTGGGTGTTGTTGGCATACTCTATACTTATTCTATTCTGTGTTTTGTCTTTTCCCCAGGCTGGAACTCAGCCCAGGTAACTGTAGATGCCAATGGAGAGAGGTCTAGCACTGCAACTGCCTTCTTAGAGCCAAATATGGACAGAAAAAATCTACACGTAGCAACACAAGCTCACGTAACAAAGGTCAGTATCATCAGAATCAATTTGTCGAAACCAGTACAAGGCACATATCATTAAATGCAAATCGAAACAATAATTCCCAAACTTGCCCCCAAAGGTTCTTTCTGCAAGAAAAGTGGTGGCCATTTTGAATTTTTTCAACTGAAGACTTTTTGTTCTGACTTTAAAAACCTCATTGGTATTTTATATGAGTACATACTTTGAGGTTTTAATGCAAATCAAAGCAATATTTTCGAAGTTATGGGTCTAAATGTGACTTTTCCGCTGTAAAACGACTAGGCGTATATATAATATATAGAGGACAGGGGCGGATCTGGGAACCAACAGGGGGGGGGGGGGGGAAATTTCAGGTCAGATAAAAAAACTTCCGCGCTTGGGCGGAAAAAAATTTGAAATTTGAAATTTTGAGGCCCATTTTCATCAAAATTTGGCCTGAAATTAAAAAAATTTATGACCAAAAAGGCCCACTTTTTGGTGCATTAAGGCCTTTTTTGCCCAATTTCTTTTTTCTGGGCCCATCCAAAGGGGGTGGAACGCCAGTGCAGGGTAATCATAATTCTGGGAATTAGTCTGCCATTTCAATATTTCTCATGATTTCTCATAAATTCACTAGGCTACTATAGCTAGAGGACATAGCCTACCTTCCTAGAAAGTTAAGGGAATTGATGTCCATCTTTTTGTAGGTGCTTTAAAGATTTCCCGCATATTTTTTTGGGACTTGCTTGTGTCTCGAAGTCTGATGAATGATAAATGAAAAAAACAAAGTATACTTTTACATAACAATACGGATGTTATCTTGGAAACTGCATTTAGAAATATTCGAAAACATAAAAACACTATATATCAACCAAATTATTTAACCATCTCTTTTTTCAAATAAAAAAGTTTCTACATTTTGTTTGACCCGCGACTCCGTTTGTTATTTTGTACTAGCAATAATCCATTGTGACGGAATATAACATGAACATTTTTATTTTATGTCGTTTATAATTTCATTTCCCATTCACCCTGGAAATTTTAAATAAATTGGTTTGAATATAATCAAATGACAGACATATTCCCAGAACTTAATGATCACACTGTATTCTTTCAAAATTGATGTTTTACCCAGATTTTACAATACAATTGATATTGTTTTTATATTGATAACAGGTTCTCCTAGAAGGCAAGAAAGCAGTGGGTGTGGCTTACGTGAGAGACTTGGTCAAGAAAAGTGTGAAAGCAAGAAAGGAAGTTATACTATCAGGAGGTGCCATTGGATCACCTCACATTCTCTTACTCTCTGGAATAGGACCTAAGAAACACCTTAAAGAGATGGGAGTAAGTTTTGAAGAATCATACAAATTCAACCAGATGTCATTTACATAACTCTGTCCAGTTGTATTGTAAAAACGACACTTGTTATTTACCACAATGTGAAGTTTTGTAATGAGAACGATATTTTTGGTAATACCTCACAATGTGTAGTTGCATAGTGAGAACGAAACGTCACTGGTACTCTTTAATGTCAAGATGTGTAGTGTAGCGTGTAGTAATGATAAACCACAATGTGGTAGTTGTGTGGTGGTAACGACACTTTAGTAATTACCACCCACAATGTGCTCTAAGGCAGTAACGTTTACCCTAGCTTATGTGAGATTAAGCAGCGACCCTTGGTATTCTTAGCTTTTGAAATAATCAAGTGGTAACTCTTTCTAGGAAGATATTTTTAACACTTTGAAGGTGTTGTACTTTTTGGCTCACACAGTGAGCCTATGGGATTGACCAGGCGTCCGTCCGTTGGTCCTTCCGTCGGTCCGTCCGTCAACATTGGCCGCACAAATTAAAACTGCTATTCGGATTGAGTCATATCCACAGTCATTTTATGCATATCCATAATGCCTATTTTGTTATGCGGTAAACACGATACAAAAAAATGTCATATTCCGCAACGAATATGGCATATTCACTTGCGGTGTATGACAGATTCACCTGCGGTATATGGCATACACACTAACCAATGAGAACGCGATACGGAAGTACGCAATTATCAATTGCATCGATTGAACGAACAAGTAAAACGTTATAGATTATTATTATGATTAATGAATCAACAGTACTGTGTATCGAATATATTAACTTAGCAGAAGTATCAGTCACCAATCTCGCGTAATAAACTTTCTCAATCAATCCAGGATTCATATATTAGTACTCGACGCACTAACTATATTGGTAATCCAGCGCAGTTATACATTTAGAGTCGATTCTCGCAACCAATCAAATCAAGGCTTTCTGTATCACGTTTTCACCTGCGGTATATGTCATATTCACCTGCGGTATATGGCATATTCCGCAAGTGAGTATGACATATTCCGCAGGTGAGTATCGGGTATTCACTGAAATCAATGTATCGCATATTCACTGCGGAATATCGCATACTCACCTGCGGAATATGCCATATACCGCAGGTGAGTATGGCATATTCACCTGTATCACAAATACCGCGCAACCATGAATGTATGCCATATAACGCGTAACATATTTGACCTATCATTGCCATTTCCCAAGTTCGCCCGGTTTCTGAGAAATTGCTGATTTTGACGTCAAAAAGTCAAATTTTCTGTAAATACTGGACACTTTGTTGACACTTTCAAATAACTTGTAGTAGTTGCTGTATATGGAACTTATGTCCTCTGAAGATTTCAAAGCTCTTGGAATTACAGTTTTTGGTGTTTACTCTATAAAATTTGACAAAAAGTAGGACTTAATCATTTTCAGGAAACTTTCTTATGTATAAAGTCAATGGCAGGTTTTGTGATTGACAAGTTTCTCAAAGTTTGCCTTATACTTGATCATTTCTTGCAATGAATTACATCATAACTAGATTTAAGCATTCCCTACATATTGCTCAATATGTCAGCATCAAATTTTTACCATTTTTGAAATATTTGACATCAAAAAACAGTAAAAATAAGATATTTTTCAACTTGCTTCAATTTGACCAATTTTTTTTTGAAAATCATCTACAAGCTACCAGAAGTTCAAATCTGACATTAGTTTTAGGATTTGACCTTTACTTGACCTTCAGCAGTGACCTTTGAAAGGTAAAAAAAAGTTGAATTTTCAAATTGATTTTTGGATGTAAATTTTGGTCAGCTTAATCACATAAGACCTTACTGAGCTCTAAATAAGTAAAATTTCAAGGTCAAAGGTCATCAAACTAGGTCACACAACTGTGCTGTCTAAGTTTCTCAAAGTTCGAGACTACAAATCCAAATCAATATTTTTGTTTGAAAGTCAGGATATACATTACTCTGAAGGTTCCAAACTGTGTGAGCACAGGACCGTGGGTCCAATTTTTGTATAATGGCTGACTAAGGAAATTATCATTTTTTAGAAGAAGTTATAATTTTTTATTAAGGCACGGCCACTGTGTTATCATGGCATGGCCAGACTACAATTATACAAACAACATTTATACAGTTACGTTGCAGTTACATTGATCTACAAAGATGTTAGAAGAGTCCTTATTTAATGTTTGAATTTTATCTAATGATACAGTGTGCGGCCACTTTCGTAGTTATTGCATCTCATAACAAAGTGCAGTTCATCTTTAACACAATCAATTATCTGAAGATTTTGTTCATTTGCGTTCATTTACATCTTTATTTTTGTATCTTCCCGCTTCAATCTCTAATTTAAAGTTATTTTCAGAAGCGAGATATTCTTCAAGATGTATATTATTTTTGAATTTTACATAGGTTCTCATTTTGCTATTAGTATTTGGTTTGCTATCAGCGCTTATTTTCACCTTCCACTGATCATTGCATTTAATGATAAGCTTTTCATTGACACATTTCAAGAAAGCATTTTTTAGGATGAATCGGGAAGTTTCACATCATTTATATCAATGTCAATACTTTACAGTGATTTTGGAATGTAATAGTATCACAGACTGTATTTTTTGTATTTCATGTAGTGTGAAAGTAATTTGCTCATTAGAGAAGTCTTTGGTACTGCATGCTTATCATGTGTGTCCAGTATATTAAATTGCACTCAAATGAATATGATATGACATTGGTAGTCTGCCAATCTCATTCAGTATTGCAAGGTTACTGCAGTTGTGTTTGACATCAAGAATCCATCTGCAGCACTTTATTTGTATATTTTCAATTTTCTTCTTAAAATTCTTCTTAGATACCCGTAGTTGCAGACCTACCAGTTGGAGAAAACATGGAGGATCACCCTTCAACTGACATTCTGACATTTTTTACAAAAGTTGATGCTATTACAGAACACCAAGCGTTCTCTTTACTTGAGACCTGGAAATATAAACTGTTTGGAACAGGTAAGTTTCTTAAATGTGTTCATTCTGCTGATACTCATCACAGCTTTCTGTCTTCAACGAGAAATATGATCATACTAGTGTGAAGCAAGGGCTTATTTAATACCCGGGGCATAGTTGTGTACCAAACGAAACGAGAAACGACACGACATCCGGGGCTTTGTTTGGTCTTCATTAGACAATGGTGTATAAACAAGGAGGATTGGCTCCCAGAGTGCACCACCGATATTCTGTCCCATATATGGGTATGTCGTAATACAAAATTCGAATTCAAACAGCCGCCATTTTGTTCACTTCAACATTTAAATCGTGAATTTTGGTCTTATTTCCAAACGAAAAATTCCAAAACTCACAAGAAACGATCGAGATATTGGTTCGAATCTTTTGAACTGTTTATTTTGAATTTATAGTCGGTTTTAATTTCAGAAAATAACGACATTTCGACGTTTTCATTGTTGGAAAATATCGAGTTTCGATCCTGGGAGCCAATCCTCCTTGGTGTATAAAGGGGTAGGATTTCTCAGACCTAGATCCCTTTTTCTGTACCGTTTTGCAGTTATTTTACTCTATGGCATTGCAATCCGTTCACATCATTAGCTACATAATTGATTAACTTAAATATATGATATGTAAATAAGGGTTAACACTAACAGAATAAACAGGAAAATGTACTTGAAGTGGCGATTGTGTTTTCTGTCAGTCAGTCTTACCCCCCTTACCCAGCTCTATAGCGCAGTATAAGGTGACCTGATTATGCAAATGAGAAGACCCCGTTGGTTTCTCGTCAGCGCAATCAAAACGGATGCGGACAATCTTCGTTTTAACTGTTGTATCCGAACGGTTGGTGACCGTAATTCACTAGACTATCTAAAATAGGTTACGTTATAGGGATAGATTGTTTTTACTTACCAATCATCAACATGTGCTGACATATTCAGCTCTGGACTTTATGTCCAAAGGGGGGTAAGACACATCGTCAGAAAAAATTTCAAGTTATCACACCCCGATCATTTATTGGCTAATTCAAATCGGATGCGGTAAAAAACCGAACGCCAATTTGCGAACGATCCGGGTATTACAATTCGCCCTTGTGTGAAGCTAATAGAGCCATGATTTCTTATGATGCATAGTGTCTAGTCTAGCTCATAGTCAAGTAGAGGGGGGGGGGCACAGAGCTAGACTAGATGGTTTTTTCTCAGTTCTTAAATGAGATCCTTTTTAGAAAAATGATCTTCTTCTTAGGCCTTAATGTGGAACATATAAACTAGGTGAAATGAACCATTTCATGTTTGTTTGCCAAAGGTGTATGGAAGAATCCACTGGCAAACCTGATGTACTTTATGAAATCTCCTTACCAGCAGGATGATCACAAATTCCCATACATCCAGTTTCATGTATTTTCAACACTATGGGGAAACGACAAAGGAACAGATTATGTAAAAGACAACGTCGGATATACTGATGAGGTACATGAATGTTAAAATATAGTTTGCAACATACATTGTGCCTTACACATCAAATGGTTGTAGACGGAGCTTTTGCATCAATTTATATATCAAGGTGCATTCAAATATGGATGTATTTTAAGTTATACAATGGACTGTTTCAATAAAATTCCAAATATGAAATGCAATATTTCAATGCATTTTCAGTTATGGAATGCAAATATTTCACTTCACTATCAGTTATGAAATGCAATGTTTCAATGCATTTTCAGTTTGGAATGTGGAATTTCACTGCGCTCTCGGTTATGGAATGCAGTACTTACATGTACTCTCAATCATTGAATACAATATTTCAATGCACTTTCAGCTATGTAATGCACTATTTCAATGCATTTACAGTTATGGAATGAACTATTCCAATACAATTACAGGTGTGGAATGCATTGTTCCCAGATGAGCAACTCGATGGAAAAACTGGGATCAGTTCCATTATCACATTGCTCCATCCAGCGACAAATGGTACAATTAGACTTCAGAGCAGGGATCCATTTGATCACCCACTGATTGAGCCAAACTATCTCAAAAATCCAGTTGATGTGAAGCATTTGATGGCAGGTTAATGACAAATATATTTAATCATATGATAAAGTTAAAGAAATTACAAAGGTTATATGTAAAAGATTATACATAGTTACATTAATATTAAAAAACAGTGAAAACACTTTCATTGCTAGCCTATTAGTTTTTCTGGAATTATTTAATGTTTTGTAAATAGGAATAAAGGTTTGGACAGAAAAACTTGCAAAAACAGATGCATTCAAAAAGGGAGGATTTGAACTCAATACAAACCATCACCCTTTATGTAAGACTCACCGATTTAGCACCGATGCTTACTGGGATTGTTTCATTAGAGCAAACTTGTGGACATTATACCATCCAACATCAACATGCAGAATGGGACCAACGAGTGACAAGAACTCAGTTGTAGACCCACAGTTACGGTACGTAAAACCCCGATTTATGATTCTGTCATAGCTTTAGTTATCGCCTCCCAGTGTTCGAGAAAACTGGCAAAAGTAAAATTCTTCAGATTTTCAGTCTGGAATTCTAGAATAAATTATAAGAACATCCCGAATTACAGTGTGCTACTTTAATTTATAAAGGTGAATCAATGCCTTAGGCCATATAGGCCATAGAAATCCGATTGATACATAAACTCTTAAGTCATATATTTTCCACAATTTGAAGTAAGCCCACTTTAGATTTTCCATGGCAAGATGAATGACAAACATTGCGTAACATTGTCATCCATAGATTTTGGATTTGAACCTTGTAATATTTTTTGCAGAGTGAAAGGGATTGAGAATCTGAGAGTGGCAGATGCATCCATCATGCCTCATGTCATGTCAGGCAACACCAATGCGCCATCTATTATGATCGGAGAAAAAGCTGCAGATTTGATCAGACAATCGTAAAAACTCATTTGCATTTACAATTTAGATATACGTGCTATGATTGATTTCAAACTCCATAGTTCAAGCAGAAATGTACCATCCTTTATAATAGGAATGTAAGGCTGCAGATTTATTTTTACAATCGTAAAAATTCATTTTGCATTTAAAATATACGAGCTATAATTGATTTGATTTCAAACCCCATGCTTCAAACAAAAAATGATAAGAGGGAACGCTGCAGATTTGATCAGAATCTGCATTGTATTTTCATATTTTAATATAGCTTTCATAATTAAGATATATGATCCGTAAATATGGAAACAAAATTGACTTCAGACTCTATGCTTGAAGCACAAATGCACCATTTTGATGGGATTGCATACTTGTATATGTATCCTCCAACACATGCTTTACACTTTCAATTAACTAAGAAACTACATATACTTGACAATTCATTTAAATAATACATTGGATTAGTTTTATTTCTCCAAATACTTATTTGAAATCGTATTGTTGCATAACTGGAATCTTAATGTTTGGAGGATACAAAATATTGGACAGCAATCGTTGTCTGTCATTTTAAAGGTAACCCCTACACAGTGCCAGCATCAACAACATTAATTTAACCAGTGCGTTGTAGGATACAAATCATATGGACATAATAAAAGTATTCTGTTTTATGAGCATCAAATATCAAACTATTCCCTTTTGAGAGCTGGTTGCAAACATACTTTATTAACAAGTTTGAAATTATCGCACATGATACATTATTAATTATGTTGTCTGAGTTAGTATTAGCAAACTTTGATTTTTGTCAACAAATCATCATTAAAGCTTTTAAAGAATAAATAAGCAATATTTTCAGTATATATCGCATGGACATGAAACCAGTTGTGTTGACATTAAAATAGTACACATTAAATGCCGTTCACATTAAAACACATGACGCAGGCTTTGGCAGAATAACAGAATTTGAATATATTTGAAAAAATCAATTATCGTAAAGGTTCAGGTAGGTTATCGCAAACAGTTTCAGACGGTTATATCTTGGATTATGACTTTTCTCTGACCATGAAAACAGGTATATCTTTTAGATCCATTCATTATCTCAAAGAAAAGTATACATACACAGGGTGTCCAAAAAACAGGACCGTAAGAAAGTTGAATAACTCGGTCAATTTTGCATATTTTGCCTTGAAATTTCAGAAATATTTAGTTCATTCAATGTGAAAGTTTGATAATAATCTACCAATTGAGTCAAAGACTAAAGCTCTTTACAAAACATGCCCCAAATGTGCAAATCTCATCTCTATGCACAATTCAATCTGGCGAACAAAGCTGTTGATGATCCTCCTACACACATGTCTTTCTGAATGGACAAGTTTGTTCCAAGAACAATTGCTACTGGGGCTTACATCCTCCTGATGAAGTGTTACAGCATCCGTTGCATTCTGAACAATGCACTCCCTGGGTGGCAATGAGGAAACATGGAATCATCAGTCCCTTTTGGTTCGAAGGTGACTGGGGACTTGCTATCACCATGAACAAGGACCAGTAAGTTCTCACCAAGTTTTGGAGGGCACTAAGCACCAGAAGGGACATCTAAGGAGATAATTAAGCAGTGGTTTCAACAAGCCAATACCACCCCAACACTGCAAATGATATGCTGAAATGGTTTAGGCAATGCTTTGGTGGTCAGCTCATCAGTTGCAGAACGCAAACCATATGGGCAGCTCATTCGCCTGATCTAAATCCCCCAAATTTTTATCTTTGAGGATTTCTCAAAGCCAATGTGTATACTGACAGGCCCCTAACAATCTTAAGAGGGCAATAACTACCCCAATATTTACCATTCACATTAATGTGTATAGGTAAGGGTCATTGACAACTTTGTTCGCAGGATTCGTTTGTGCATAGAGAGGAGAAGTGCCCACTTTGAGCACGTTTTGTAAAGGACTGTAGTTTTCGACACAATGAACAGATTATCATCAAACTTTCAGAACAAAATTCACATTGAATGAACTAAATAATTCTTAAATTTCAAGGCAAAATATGCAAAATTGACCGAGTTATTCAACTTTCTTACGGTCCTGTTTTTTTTGGACACCCTGGAGGTAAATGATAACAAAGTCAATCGGACTCGGAGATATTTAGCTAGCAATCCACCAATTAACATACTTTTCCACATGTTTACCAAAATGCAATCATTTTTACAATGTTTAATACAATTCTTTAATTTGATATGTATCAATTAGTTCTTGAAAGGAAAACTAAGATTAGTGTTCCCCATGTTATTTTCCCATTGTAAAAACTTATTCTATCCATGGTTTCAGCTTATTTTGGTCATCCAAATTCAATATCTTTAAAGTCCCCGGAGGAATCTACTTTTCCTTCTAGAAAATAAAACATGTCTCAAAGCACATTCTACTTACACTTTTAGTGAAAATTAGATCAACATTTTTGAGATGTTGAATCGTCAATTACCCCTTTAAATCACTTAGTCTGATTAACTTAATTATCATAACACATATTACTTTTCCTGGAGGTTATGAATGGGTCTAAACGATACACCTCTTTGTTTATGGTAAGAAAATATTCATAAGTTAGAATCGTCTGAAATTGTTTGCGATAACCTCCCTGCTCCTTTGCCCATATAGGATAAATCGGAATCGGTATCCTAGAACAATACAGCCTCGTTCTATTGCAAAACTGAACAGAAAATATTACATATCAATAATGTAAAATATAAAAACTGGAAGAAAGCAAATATGTTCTAGTTTTAAACCATTTTTGAGACTCGTATTCAAAAGGTTACTGATTTACTAGAGTGACCTATATGCTGGAATCCTTACATAACCTTACATAAGTACATCATTCACAAATACATCGTAATTATGAATTGATAAAAATACATGTTGTAGTGCGAGTTTCATTAGATGAGTGTTACATGCTAAGTTGCATGGCTTCAATTGTTCCAGAGTTTGTCCTATATCATAGTTCTTGCTGCAGTTTATTTCTATTTTACAAAGGAAAAGGCTGAAGACATTAATTCAAAAATACAAGATGAACTAAATGAAGAATATGACTATATTGTTGGTAAGTAAAATGATGAAGTATGCAATAATAGAGAATGCGAGGGCAAATCCTAGCTACGAGCCTGAAGTCATTCATATTATATCTGTGGTATTTAAAAGTGGTATTTAACTTGTTTTGAAAGCGATTTGTACAAATGTATACAGATATACACACTATATGTCTATTTGAAAAAAACATTTTAGAATTTTTTTCACTTTTTAACAAATTGATTTCACACTTTTTGAGTGGTTTTGAGTGTCATACCATGTGGGTTAAATGTCTTCTTGTTGAATGGATCGCCAATTATTTTCAACTTTTCAACAATTGCATCTGGGTCGTTGAATTCAAATAGTTGTACGATGGGGATTCATAAGAAGTGGGACTTTTCTGAGGCAGCCAGTCCCCGTGTACATATCTCAACCAAATTTGGCACATGAACGGACTAGGATATAAAGCATTGTTTGGTGAAATTTCAATTTAACTCATGTTGTTCCCCAGCAACAACGGTTGCTATGGTAACCAAAAGTAGGGGTTAACGGAGCAGTTGAAAAATGAAGGGCTTGATTAACATAAATATGCTCATAAATATTTCAAAATGACAGTTAGTTTCAAATATTTAGTTTCATATTGTCTCAAGCCTTGTAGCCTTGAAGAAGTTTTCAGTATTAGAGATAGAACTGCATGTAAATAAGTATATCTATAGCTAGTAGAAACCCAGGGTAAAATTATGTTCTGCATGCTGAAGCTATATACAGTAATATAGATTTTCTTGCGTCCAGTACATTTTCATTGCGTCCAGTATTTTTTCGAATTTCTGAAATTTCGTCATTTCTCTTATATCAACCACTCCGAAGCTAAACTTTGCTGACTGGATGGTGTATTTTTGATTAATAATTACTAACTACTGGGATTCGTCTCCCATCGACCAGTCACCTGAACTCATTGTAAATACTTTGAATGACACGTGTTTTTCCGCATCAATAAGACAAAATTGTGAATGCTTCATAAATATATCAAAAAAATCATATGTAGTATTGTATTGTATTCTTTATTTACCTCTTATATGTTTTGAGCTCAGCTTCATGTTTTGATTTATTAAAGGAAACAAAATAACTATGCATTTTGTTCTGTGACACCTTTCTCTGATATAAATAAAATGTTTCATTTGAAAACATGCTAAAAATGTATAACTCGATTCTGTCCGCGTGACAGTCATTTACAGAATTGTCACACGAATTCAATTTCAAAAATGACTGTTGGTTCCTCATCGCGAGCATGATATTCGCACCGAGCGTTTTTTCTTGAGAAGACATCGTCATAGTACCTCGTCGCATGAGAATAACTTTGTACTATCTCACATTTTTACGGAACTGAGAAATCAAGGTTTGAAAGTTTAGAGGTCTGTATCCTACTTAGTATTGCTATGTGAAACTTGATTTTTTGTTTGTCACCTGGTCTCACCCTAGAGATATCTTATATGAAATATCATACCTTGAAACAATTTACAAGATCCTTTTTTAAAACTATGGAAATGGAGTTGATACAATTTCCCACCGGAATAACAGCTTATTTCTAATTTCAAATTGTCATATCTGATATCAACTGTTTCAACCAATCAACTCTCTAAGAATTGGTCATGTGACTTGCAAAACTTGGAGTTATAACAATCTTATATTAAAACAAAGTATGCCAATATGCATGTTATTGTATCTAGAATGAAAAATAATGTTTTTTAAAATCAATTTCTCAAATAAGTACAATTATTTCTTAATTTTAGAATCTCAGGACACCCTTCAAAAATAATTTATTGCCTTTGAAACTAAGGCAGAAGTACAATGCATTGAAACCAATGATGCCAATACAGTCCCCCACATATTTCCCTCGGTATAAACCCTGTAGCCTAAACCTCCCAGCACATTACAATGTAGCCCCTAAGGGCCGGTCCGCTGGTCATTATCAGGTTATTTTTGATACAGACCAGTTGATTTTTTCACTGGGTAAAGGAGAATAACTTTGCAACTGGTCCGTAATTCCATTTTGACCAGCAGGTTTCAGATCCTTAGGGCCTAAGGCATAACCAAAGAAAAATAATTTCTAATTCATTTTAGATTAATGAAAGTGATGAAACCTCGATTTAGGTAATCACATTTTGTTCATTGGGATGCAGCTATCATTATCCATTCATTTTCTGTTGTTTGCTACTCTGTGGAGTACAATTGGGAATTGAAGCAATTGTAGAAGTGGAGACTAAGAGTGGCTCTTTGTAAAGAAATTGAACCAATTTGTTACTTTTCCAAAATAAAATGTAGATGATCTAAAAACAATGATCCCAAAAATGCAAAAGAAAGGACAAATCTGAAAAACATATTAGTAATAAAATAACTAAAAAGATCCCAGATGTTCATTGAAAAGCGCAAAGTAAATCATAGATGAAGAGAAAATGAAATAAGTGTTTTAAGGGACTATACTAACATAAAGATAACTCCTTATTGATATAGTGTATGGTCAGTAAAAGTTAAAGCTAGTTTAAATAGATTTAGCTTTTTTCCACAAACTATAAAACATCATTTTGAAAGAGATTTCAATAGTATACAGACAGTGATTGCCTTTGAGCAATGTAGTTCAAAATATGACAGTTACTATTTGTTTTGATCACTATATCTAGTAGTATAACCTATTATTATGTACTATATTTGAAGAAACAAATAAGTAGTCTTTCATTTTCAACATTTAATGATGACAGCTTCGTATATGCATTTCTATTGCATTTGGCCATTCAAACCCCTATAAGATCTGGTAGCAGGGAAGATAAAGGGTACTTTTGACTGCTCACATGATCTAATTAACTGGTCTTTTGCACTTTTCATCTTCCCTGGTAGCAAGGATTTAGGTTTCGAGGAAATTAGTAATTCTATTTCATATCATGTGGCCATGAATAATCCAATGAGCATCCATGATACAAAGAGTAATTGAGGGCATATAATTTGAATATGCATGGGATTACACATACTGTATCATTTTATTTTTTTGATCTACTTGTAATAGTTCTAAAACTAAAACATGAAAGGCCAGGCATGCAAACTGGCATGGTATTGTGTTACAAAACATTATTTCATTCTAGATACAATAACATGCATATTGGGCTGGCATACTATGTTTTAATATAAGATTGTTATAACTCCAAGTTTTGCAAGTCACATGACCAATTCTTAGAGAGTTGATTGGTTGAAACAGTTGATATCAGATATGACAATTTGAAATTAGAAATAAGCTGTTTGTCTGGAGATGGTACAATTTCACACTGAATTCTAGCTTAATGAGAGGGAATTGAGATGGGGCATCTATCTGAGATGAAAGCCTGTGTTTCAAATAGTAAAATTCCATGTCTATCTCATTTTTTTTGAAAATGGCAGTTAGTACAAAGTTATTCTCACGCGACGACCTGTTTAATGAATGCCTTTAATAAAACTGACAATGGTAAATCATGTTAGTATATGTTATTAAAATTTTTCTTTGAATTAACACTACATTTTTCTTAGATTTGAATGAATGTATCATTTTGCACTCCTTTTTGGCTCACACAGTGAGCCTATGGGATCGACCAGGCGTCCGTCCGTTGGTCCGTCGGTCGGTCTGCCGTCCGTCCGTCTACATTGGCCGCACAAAGTAAAACTGCTATTCGGATTGAGTCATATCCACATTCATTTTATGCATATCTATAATGCCTATTTGACCTATCATCGCCATTTCCCAAGTTCGCCGAGTTTCCGAGAAAAGGCTGATTTTGACGTCAAAAAGTCAAATTTTCTGTAAATACTAGACACTTTGTTGAAGTAGAACTTTCAAATAACTTGTAGTAGTTGCAGTATATGCAACTTATGTCCTCCTAAGATCTCAAAGCTCCTGGAATTACAGTTTTTGGTGTTTACTCTATAAAATTTGACTATCATTTTCAGGAAACTTTCTCATGTATAAAGTCAATGGCAGGTTTTGTGATTGACAAGTTTCTCAAAGTTTGCCTTATACTTGATCATTTCTTGCAATGAATTACATCATTACTAGATTTAAACATTCCCTACATATTTTCTCAATATATGTCAGCATCAAATTTTTACCATTTTTGAGATATTTGACGTCAAAAAACAGTAAAAATAAGTTATTTTTCAACTTGCTTCAATTTAAGTTTTCAAGTTTTTTTTGAAAATCATCTACAAGTTGCCAGGAGTTCAAATCTAGGATTTGACCTTTACTTAACCTTCAGTGACCTTCGAAAGGTCACAAAAGTTGATTTTTCAAATTGATTTTTGGATGTAAATCTTGGTCAGGTTAATCACAAAAGACTTTACTGAGCTCTGAATAAGTAAATTTTTTAAGGTCAAAGGCCATCAAACTAGGTCACACAACTGTGCTATCTAAGTTTCTCAAAGTTCGAGACTACAAATCCAAATCAATATTTTTGTTTGAAAGTCAGGATATACATTCCTCTGAAGGTTCCAAACTGTGTGAGCGCAGGACCGTGGGTCCTTTATTTAATTATACGATTTAACTAGAGTGTTTGACTTGACATAATTATTTATTTATATGAGTAACTATAAGTATAAGTAACTATTTTAGGAACACGACCGTTCCCTAAACGTGGCTCACTTTTGATTAAGGCCTTAAAACTCTCTTCCCTGTGCCTTGCCCTAAGTGAAATCGTGACAATAGTGAAGAAAATCAAGAGCAACACATATCCATTCTTAGAGCTTGCCAGGTAACAATCGATCTATTCCTACAATCCCCTCTAAATGTTTGACAACCCTTTGTTTCTTATTGGACATTATGCAAAGCCTGTACATATTTGACAAATTGCAAAAAAATATCAAAGTCACAAATTTCCGACCTTTTTGTCATTGACGGTTTTATCAAGTTTCGGGCCGGTTTAAATTGAGTGAATGTCTATTCGAAGACATTTGAAGCGGGAGTTTGTTTATACGGGAAGTCAACCATTTTACACGTTATTGATAGGAGTATCAATTAAGACATTCTCCATCCATTAATTTCTCTCATGTGCATTCCGTTCAAGTCTGTGTGGGGAAAATCCAGTTGCACTATATTAAAGAACATTTACACACTTGTATTAATCGTTTTCACTGAGCAATGATTATTATGTACTTTATAATTCATAATTTCATGAAAGAAGATATATTTACATTTTATGTTAAAGACCTTATTGTTCAGTACCTTTCCCCTCAAAATCCAATATATCGATTTACTAACCGCAGAGGTAAAGGTAGAAGACCAATTTGTGTCTTGGAGAATGCAATTGATCAAGTAGGGGATTGTGGGACGTGACCCATCAATAAAATTGCATTTCCAATTGATCAGTTTACGTGAATTACCCAAAGACATATAATCGAGGAATAACAAAACCAGTTGATCAGTAAATTGAAGACAAGTCTTTTAAATGAACCACCTTCCTAATACAGTTCTACGTACATTAAACTATAAAACGTTTATGTTTGTAGTGAATCTTTTGAGGGAGAATGTACACACCTGAATGTTTGATCAGTGTGGTTGTTATGTATATGGCACCTGGGTTACGGCAAACTCAGTCCTCAAGCTAATTCAGTAATTCACCTTAGAATGCTACTGGATTAAGAGAGTTCATATAAAAATGTTGTTAGGAAGGATTAAGAAGTCAAGAAAAATTACGACCATGAGGAATAGAGATCAAGAAGGATAATAAGGGGGATTAGGATTAAGGATTATCTTAATCAGGTAAATCGGCATTTTATTGATATAATTACTCGTATATTGAATCATTAGTATAAACCTAAAATAAATTCAATGAGAGCAAATATCATTGAACATATAACGAACATCATGATTATCAAAATAATTATATTGTAATTGAAATAATTTGTTTTTGACAACACTGCTTCCTTCATTCAATTCCGAATATCAATAAAACCAACTTTTGTAAATTTGACGTTGAAAAGAAAGAACGCTACTTCTTAACTTGGAAGACATCATATTTAACAAGTTTGACTATTAACTTTTTCAGAACTGTATACGGAACTGTCTCCGTCCTCTCTCCGTCTTCTTGTTTTATCACGGATCAGCCCGATCATGGGGACAGAAATTGGAGGAAGAATACACGATGACGTCCATAACAAGGTTCGCCTCATCTCCATATCAGACTCAAGGTTTACCCGACAACGGGAACGTCAATATTTAACAAGATACAATGAAGAGCAGCAACTTCAAATTCCCCGTAGAATCCTAGCACGCCATAGTCTTTGTACAAATCTTAAAAAACGCATTTCAAAAACAGAATTCACTTTATCAAAATCATTGACAGAAAGCAAACTTGATAGGTATAAAAGTGTTTGTTTCGGATTGAACTCCCCATGGAAAACACGTTCTGGTACCCAGTGGGAACATTTGTATGGGAAGTCAAAAAGTGCGCCGCTGAAAAAGAACGGTAAGCTAAGTGAACCCATTTTGCGAACTGCTGATTCTCGACCAAACACCATCGGAAATTCTCAAAATTACACTACGGATACTCCAAGTTACCAGCGCGAAGCAACTTTATCGGAGAGTGTTTCACCACCAAGACTTCACCGCGAGACAACCATAGCAGACAGTGTTGCTCTTCCCACGCTCCGACCCGATACAAGGATGGTTACTCTCCGACAACTCTCGGAGATCCTCAATCAGTCGGATAAAACAGACAAAGACCACATAAAGGTGAACATCAACCATATACCAAACGGATATCCAAATATCACGGTGAACCTGAACAATGATGTGCGAATTGCGAGGAAGCCCCATTGGTTCGAGGATTCTAAGTCAATGGAAAAGCCTGGAAATGACAACGATGATGTCTCGTCCATACATAGCTCCATACTTGAAGAGCAACTAAACAAAGAAAGACACGAGAAATTCTTAGTAAAAACTGAGCTTAATACTGCGTCTTGTTTTGTACACCCCCTGAATAAGAAGTACCTAAAGGAATTGGACAGAAAGCAAATGGCAACACGAACGAGGGTAGAACATTGGATGGCTAACAATCCAGTTGGTGAGCAAGCAAATAACAATGAGATTGCGGAAGATGGTTGGCTTGAAATAACCACAGAGGAACAGAAATATCATAACGAATCTCAATGGATTTATCAAATTGAAGAAACTCCAGACTACTTTGAAAAATTTCGAAAGGAACTCAAATTGGAACGAAATGAAACAGCTAGTGAAAGGAGCGCTAAAAATAGGGCAGCCGAGAGAAAAAAGTTACTGTATTATATGAGGCTCAAAAGAAAACAGCGAATGGGTAAACCAAACGAAACAGACGATAAATCTGAAACATCAAAAACTCCTGCTAAAAATAAGAATGCTAAAATCGTAAATAAAACAGATATAAAATAAACTAAAACACGCACAAGATTGTAAATTGGTGATCTACCAGTATTATTTAGTTTGAATTAAGTGATTTCAAATAAAAACTGTGATGTAGACATGAATAATTTACTGTGTTTTGGTATTTTGTGAGCCCTTTAGGAGGCTAAAAGGTGACAAAAATGACACCCCACTATTAAACCTCCAAATCCCTGTTCTGAGGTCCAGGGTTTGAAATGGTACATCAAGCCCTAGTGCACCACCCCCACTAATACACACCTACCTACGGGTGTGGGGATTAGAGAGGGGGGGGGGGGCAAACGTCCATGCAAGATATATGGACTTGATTAAAAAATATGTATCGGTCGATGGTAATTATTGTAAAGAACCTTGACGGGTAGTTAACTTATAAATAAACGATGTTTGACTTAAAAGACCGAATGGTAGAGCTACAACATAACATCTGTAATTCCAAAGAATGCTGTTCAATTCTAATGTTTTATTTGGTTTTCTCGCTGATAATCTAAAAAGCAACCAATTCTACGAAAGTAGAAGCTATTGTCGTTGAACAATAAATCGATTTTCACCCATGTTTTTATATTCTGAATATTGTACTTTCTGAATATACTTGCGAATAAGTGCTTGCAGCACACTGTTACAAAAACACAAAGGCAAATAATACGTTTCATTTAGCGATCAGTAATGATAACAGGGGATGGCTATTAACCTGGAGAACCTACCCTGTGACTCAGAGGTTGGTCTCTCTCTGACTAAGAAAGACAATATACAGTTTTGATGTGTCCAGATCTTTATGACCCCTAAATAGCTGTTATGGCCTTTCATGGCAATTTGCTAGATGAAGGCGGAAAATACATTTAATGCAATCCTGATTTGATAACTGAATTTAGATGAGCCTCCATAATAATAGGTTATTTTGCTATTAGAATAACGGGTGTCCAGATATCAACAGCGGTGGAAAAAATCAACTTCAGTTTATTTTCATAATCCACCCTTTAAAAATTGAGAAATCATGGTATTTACAGGGTGGGCCAATAAAAATTGGAACATTTTTCTATTTATTCAATTTTCTTTTTTATTGCAGTTCAGTCCACAAAAACTCAGATAACACTAAAATGATTATTTGTGAAAATGTTAAAGATAAAAATATGTATACAGCTGTATATGATTAATTTTGGCTTGTCATGGTCTTGATCTGTATACAGAGTGTGTCATGAAAAATTTCCATATTGTCTCTGCTTGAGACATCATTGCTCAAAATACAATATCTCACACCATACAATATATGCCTTGTGTAAGGGTGTCAAACAGAAGTTTTCTTTCTGTTGTATTTTTCTTACACATCATGTTAAAGTGTTGTTCATCTTCTAAAATACCACACATATTACATAAACGTTCATCCAAAGGTCTTGGCTTAGGCTGCAAATGACAACCAATTTCTAGATGTAATTTGTGTGAACTAAGCCTAAATCTACTAATTGCTTGTCTGTAATTTTTATTTTGTCTAACCCTCTCTTTCAAAGACATTTTTGAATGTTATGTAAGTTCTTAAAAGAGGATATTTGAAAATATCTTTCTGCCACTGAGACTTATAATTCTGATACAGTTGTTTTGTTATCTTCTTGATAAAAATATAATCATCATCAATCTTTTGAGTTTCCCCAATATGAGAATAAATCACATTTTTTCACAATATCTGTGATTTTGTTTGACCAGGTGCCTTTAAAACCCAGTTGACTCATTTCACCGTCATGAGTATGTGTTTTATGAAGAATGTTTCCATCAGGTGATAGATAAATTAAACGGAGCCAATATTTAATTAACTTAATTTCAAAACGTATTTTTAATGGGTAACGTCCTAATTCTCCATAGACTTCTGGTGTTGCTGTTGATTTTCAACACCTAATAAACTTTTAATAAAAGATAAATGCATTGTCTCTATTGTCTTAAGATGTTTTTCATTGATCCACACCTCTGAAGCATAAGTTAGGATAGGTTCAACTAAAGAGTCAAAAAGGTGCAATACAAGATTAACTGATAACTGATAACTTGTATATGATTTTGAAAAAAAGAATTCAATTTGAAGCAAGTTGAAAAAAGACCTTTTTTAACCTTGAAAAGGCCATTAAAGGTCAAATCTTAAATATAAAGTCAGATTTGAACTTCTGGAAACATGTCGATGATTTTGAAAAAATTGAAGTCAGTCTAAACAGTATTTGTTAAGTTATTGGAAGTTGTAAGAATTTGTTACAGACACCGATTGCCAGCGCCGATCGACAACCGCTGTTAAAAAAAACAGAGACCATAACAATATGTCACCACTTTTTGGTGGTGACATAAAAATGCGGTGTTGACCCCCTCCCTGAAATTAATTCCATTAAGTTTTTTTCCAAAATCTAATGTTGTAGAGATACGAGATAGATATATTGCACTCTTTTTAGAATCGATGTTTCCAGTTAAAGGGGACTAGAAAAGATTTGGATGAGTTGAGAGTAAATTTTGAAAAATATAATTTTTTTTATTTGGAAAACCCTTGGTATGATATTTAATAGGATTGATGTTGTTCAATTATGAACCACTTTGAAAAATTCAATAATACTTGGCAACATAAGCACAACACACTTGCATAACCTCTAATTCCAATTTACACAATGTAAGATGATTTAACGCTTTTTAATTTTTTTTCTATTTTTTATTTCTACTTAATGGGACTAGTGTTGGACAAAACATAAAAACAGTACTAAATAGAACAATTACACTCTGTTGTGTAATCACAGTACAATAGAGGAATATACACGGAAAAATTGTACAAAAATGTATTTTACTAAAACTGTACAGCTCCACAGGGTAACAAATCCCAATTAACATAAAATTCATAAATCTGAAAAACTATACATCTTTCCACCAAATATGATGAATATGTGTTCACTAGTATCAATTTATTTTCCCACAGTTGTGAATGGACGGCAAGACATCTGGAGGGAGGATTTGCTATATCCCTACTCAACTTTGTTCATAGGTGCTTCCTGGGTAATATGAGTGCAAGGCCCCTGCAGAATATTTGCAGGGACCTCACACTCTTATTACCCAGGGAGAACCTGTGACTTTGTTTGTTGGGATAATAACAATATAAGAAAAAAAAAGCAGAATCATTGATTGAACTCTATATGCTTAGTAAGGAGTTAAGGTGTGATATCAGTTATAAGATTAAGTATTTGTTTAAAGGTAATACTTAAAACAAGGCATTCACATGCAAAATGCCATCACCATTTTTTACAGACCCCAACCGCCGACATCCGATCACCAACCGGCATCACAAAAAGTGACAATAACAATACGTCAATGCTTTTTGGTGGTGACATAAAACCAAACTGATATACCCTCCTTTAAATTGTGCAAATGAAAGGTACATCATATTAATTGAAGCAAATTCCTCAAACCCTCCTGAGGTAGCCCATTTTGTCCTAATAGGTAATCAGAGCATACATTAACATCACTTATACATGTAAGATCTAAACTTTATAGTACATGTCCTAACACTTGGTTTAAATAAATTACAAAGTCACTGATCTAAAAAACTCATAACTAACCATTACATGCATTACCAATATAATAATAGTCTGACACTTATAATGACAGATGAGTTAATTAATTGGGACTGTCTTATTCATATGAATATCAAGAGAAAGAATACAACTCTATAATACTATATATGGTCTAGCTACAAGCTTGTTTGACCCCCACTACTTGACTACACACCTTCTCAGTACAGTGGGTAAAGAAAACAGGAGAGGGGGGATCCAGAGCCTTAAAACAAGACTGGTGATACAACCACTAAAAATATTAGATCACAATACATACATGAATTATACCATGTAAAAGTACATCATGTCCTGTACACACACGTCCTACATTTCCTACTCCTTTGCAAAAACTGGTGAATATACTTTAGTGTCTATCAGTCTATTTATACAATGAAAGATCATAATATAATATTTGAGATCAACCCTGTGATGGAATGAATTACATGCAAGTTCAGTGGAGTACAAGTTGCTCCATGGAGCATGTCAGTATTATTGCCTGTAACAATGTCTATCAAATAATACATTTGTACATTCATTTATGTATCTACATGTACTAGTCTTGACATTTTTTTACCCTCAATTTAGAGGACACAAGTGCAATACGAAGTGCACTCTTACAAATAATGATTGTCTCATTTTTCTCCTCATTAATTCAAACATGAAACAAAAAATGTTATCGTTACTGAACAACAGTATGACATTTAAAATGTTTACACTTGACAAATGTTCATAAATGCAACAATTTAACTATAAGTAAAACCACAACACAACCAAATGATATAAGGCTAATGGACATTGATTTCATTCACTAGGCCATTATCAATAAATATCATTCCTTTTGTAGATTTGTGGTTTGGACTCAATATTCTACATGAACTGCACTGTATTGCACCAACTACTAACACCTGTAGGTGTCACTAACTAAGAAGAGTTCAAGACTCACTGTAACAGCTGTTATATTAAGTACAAATCGTTCCTGTATTAAGAGGAGTCATTCTTTGACAGGGAAGCAAGTGGGAAGCTTAGGCCAATTACGTGCCCCTCCATGTACTCTCAGTGCTAACCACTGTTCCATATTAGTCAGTTTATAGTGGAGATCTCCCTCTTGCTCCGTAGAACCTATGTTATTATCACTAAGACCATATGAAGTGTTTTGGTTACTATGCCGAGGGAGACTAGATTGGGACGAAGCATATGACTCGGTTGTACTCATACTGTACTCATTGTTGCTTGTCTCTGTAATTGATCCTCGTGATTGTCTGCCATGCGGTTGACGTTTCAGAAGCAGAACAGCTCCATGGAGCTTCTTAAAGGCCTCAAGAGCAAGTATACTCTGTCGGACTTCATCGTTGGTGATGTAGGCTTCCAGGAATGTGCTTGCGTAGCCAAAGTCCAGCTCTAGCTGACATGCACCATAGTAACTGAAACAAAGCGATCAGTGATCAAATCATATGAATCATGCCAAATCATAATACACATACTTTTGCAGATAATGATATTCCTTTGTGAATAAATATGATTTACTCATTGTTTAATGCCTTTAGCCTTCGATTATGACAGTTGCTAAAGTATGTGTATATTTAGTCAACATCCTTTTACATAAAAGATAAAAAATAGGTTCAATACAAATTCATGGCTTCTAAAATTAAATACCTAAATCTGAGCCTCTCTTTGAGAATCTGCTGCATCCACATGTCACAAATAGTTGTCACGGTAATACTGATGATGCTGATCTGGGCTGTAGAGCGCAACTTAGCAGCACCTTCGACTATGGGTTCTAAAAGTGTGTCCATGGCAGTTTGGGCATATTCGTTACACTCTGTAGGTAAATCTGTAAAATAGAGGTCAGTTATAGTCAGATACAAGATACAGAATGAGGGCGTTTCATATGTTAACAAGTTTCCATAAGTTTATTCAAAATATTTCTTTACAATGATTAAAACTTCATTTTCCAATACACCATTTCATTCATTTATCAAAGAGCTCCTAAAAGTTAAACCCCTTGATTCATATATGAAAGAATGCTATACCTTGGTTACTTTTCTTGCGCCAAACTCGTCCAACAGGAACAGTTTCTTCAAAGAAATCCGAACACTGTACTGCAAACTTCTCAGAGAAACTCTTCAAGATGATCCCTGATAGAGCCTACAAATATATACAAATGTACTTTATGTCCTTCAATGACAATAATAATGTAACATTATGCATAGTGAATATTATGAAATTAAAAACAGTGAATAATTTCCCTTGCATAGTCCCCGTGGCATAGTTTAAAGTTTAGGGAAAACAGTTTGCTTTCTAATCTAATTATTAGGACATTGCAAAACCTTTTTTTCATACTTGAAAATGAATTTAGACTTTAAGGGAGATGTATACATTTGGAATTTTTAAGCAGTCCTCATTGGAGTCACATGTTATTTGCAGGAATACAACTCATTTCATATACCGTCTACATCTTTCCCATTTGTATCCTTTCTATCTTAGAGTTATTATTGTTGTTTTTAAAGGTTTTTTCTTGCAATTGAATTTTGTCTAATCTTTACATCTTCATTATCACATTTTGATAACAATGTTTTTAGCTTGACAGTAACTGAGTCTCCCATTTATTTGATCTTGGCCCTTTCAAAGGAAAATCATTTTCAGGAAAGTAGATTCTACCTGAAGTTTTGATGCGACATCATGGAGATTATCCCAGCATGCATCAAGGAGCTTTGCTCTGGGGAGGTCAATTTGCATTCCAGGGGTTCCAGACCTCAACAACTGACTTAACTCCAGGATGTGTTTAATTTCATCACATAACAACTACAAAAGTCATTCAGACAATTAAATGCAACAAGTCTTCATAACAATGTGAATTCCATTTTATTTGTGAAACAATTTAATCAATCATTCTATAATAATAGTTTAATGCACTTACATGTACTTGGCATTCTTTCATATATCATATATTAAATTCTCCTATACAGAGCAAAATGTAATGTGCTCTGACCCAAAGGGTATAAAAACGTTGGCGAATAGAATTCTCTATGAGAAATGATTGCAATAAGGGGTTTGGTCATCTTTTTTTAAACAAGAAATTTAGCTCTAACCCCAAAGTTGGAGTTAGATTCCCATAACTGAGGTTACTTTTTTGTAAAAATATCATTGACTTGAGCCATACAGGCTCACCAAAATCAAATATAGAATATGTGAATCTAAGTTACCTTACCTTCAAGTCACTGTGTGACACCAGGAGAAAAGCTCCAATGGAAAAGTTAGCCAGATAGTGTTTACTCTTACTGTGGCACCATCTATATGAAGTTTCACAGACTAAGATTATACGTTGGAGGGTCTGGATGAGAACTGACACTTGGCTGGATTTAAATTGTGCAGCACCTGAATTTACATTATTATTATTTGAATGTATTTGATTACATTCAGATTGACTATCCTCTTCTTACCATCATCTGCCCTCAATGAATGTAAATTGGACATTCATTGAATTGTAGCAATTCAAAGGCCCTTTTATAATGCTATGTACCCTAATAAATTGTGATGGACTTTTGCCCTTTCCCCAAATGTAATAATAATCAACAATGTCAGGCCCGTAGCCAGGGGGAGTTCGCAGGGTTCAGGCGAACCCCCCCCCCCTGGCCAAAAATTCTTTCAAAATCATGCAGTTTTTGACCATTTTGAGCATTTCTCTAGTGATTTTAGCCTTATTTGGGCCAAAATTGTCAATTGTGAACCCCCCCTGGAAATTTTTTAAAATTGAACCCCCCCTTGGCAAATCCTGGCTACGGGCCTGAATGTGAACATTGATTTCTCATATGACTAAGTCAGATTCAGCCACCTTCATATAATAAAGATAAAGCAGTTGATAGATACATGCACATGTAGGTGTCAATTAACTGCTAATTTCACAATGCCTGATGTCGAAGATGAGCCCTGCATTATCAAGCACATTTACACATAGGGCCAACTATGGATGGAATGTATTGAAACTTCAGTTAATTCAGTAATGAATGTTTTGTTTGCAAATCAAGGATTTGGCATCTTATCCTTTATCATTTTCTTTTCAACTTTTTGCATTTAAAACAAAACAAATGTACAATTCTTTGCTTTTGCAAGGTCTTTCAACAATTACTTTATTTACCAAAGCCTAAAACGAGACATACCTTTGGTTTGGCTGCTAGGTCTTCTTTCTGCAATAAGCGAGGCAAGAATTGCCGCCAGTGGTTGGAAGCTATCTTTTAGGAGTTTGCCTGTCTTTGTACTGGAGACACCATCAGCTAGGGGGACAGGATAGCATTTGTCACTCCATGTAGATGCCAGAGCATCACAGAACACTAGAATTAAGAAAATATTAAGTTTATTCCAAAATACTTCATGAAAATTACAATTAACAAAAGTCACTATGACATTTAAACCAGATCTGCCAACCTCCCATATTTTTCATCTACCATAATTTTTTGCAAATTTTTTTTCCATAAAAAATAACTAACTACCATTACCTTAATCTCCCATAAAAACAGCCGTACTACTAAAATTTGTTGTAATTTTTTTTTAAATCTGTATTTTGTGAAAATGGCTATAAAATCTACCATACTTTTGTTGATATTTACCATAAAAACAACTGTATTTTTGCTGAAATCTACTGTAAAATCTATTTTAGTTTTGCTGAAATCTACCATATTTCTAAAGGAAGATCATGACCTTGATACATGTAAGAGGAGTCACATTTCTTTCTTTTACTAACTCACATGTTCAGTCCAATATGAAGGTTATTCTTTCCAAACAACATTTTTGAAAAAATGCTTCACCTGCCAATGTTATTTTCTGGTATCATTAAATTATCTTCTATAACTAAACTTAGTAAGTAGTCAATACAAATCCAGTGTTATTGAGAAACTTGGAGTAGAAATTTGGAAAAATGAAAAGGTGGCCAATTTGAATGATATTTCTCGAAATATCAGCATTTCTTGGAGGGGGCTCTCCAAGGGGTATGTGATAAGGTGACCTGGCCTCTAAAAACGGGACTAAATGGGACTTTGGGGTATTTAAAAATGAACAAATGTGACAAATAAATGCTTGCAAGTGACAATTTTGTTCATTTATCTGACTGACAAGTTTTTTTAAAGTGACAAAAATAGACAATTCGTTCTGAATGTAAATAGATGCAAGTTAAGATGACTTATTCTAACCAGTAACAGTAATCAAACAATGGTAACAGACTATTTGTTGCATCTAAACCTTATAAATTGCCAACCTTCAAAAGGGGTGGAAATGATTAGAACTAATTTTAGAGTCTATATTTTTTGTGATTGGCTGGATGCCCCAAATACATTTTGCATATGTTTAATCAGTTTGTTTGGAATAATAAAATATGTTCCTTTTTTTATACAAAAACATAATGTATACTAAAAAATATTGATATTTTGAAATATAAATCATTTCATAATGTGACAAGTTACACTTAATCTGTTGAATTGATTATGTCAAATCAAATTCTTTTTGTGGTGCACATGGACAATTTGATAATTCTTATAACCTTGAAGCAATGGCCGGTATTAACAGATCGCCTCATTTAAGTAAAATTATTCAAATATTGAGTATCAAACTAAGTCTATAGCCACAACCAGACAAACACCTATCAAAACACAACTGGCTTGAAAATTTCTTCAAATTTTGAGCAAAATCTGTCAACTGGTATTTCAGTTATCAAACATGATATTTTTTATGAACAGTGGTGACCATTTTGAAATGAATGGTAATATTTAGAATGCCTCTCTGAGCAGAAGTCCTTTGGTCAAGATATTAGCCCTCCATAATTTGGTCCATATGGCATAATATCAAAAATTACAGTCATTTTGAAATGCAGTGGCCATCTTGAAAATTTTTTCTTGAACAGAAGTATTTTGTCCCTAGGCATGAGCAAGTGAAATCTAAACCAAATCTGGACAGAGGAACGAACAGGTTTTCAATATCCCTCACAAACTACGTTCGGTTGGATAATAACATCAATCACACAACACAACTGGGCACAACCTGATACCTATTCGATTCTGCACGACCCAACACCCGACCAGCATAACACAATCATAACACTAGAAATCGGCAACTCCACGGAGTAGCTAATCCCAACGAACACATAATTGTGATCTACCCTAAAATTCTTTTAATTTGAGTATAATATAGCCATACTTCTAAGAGGTCAGAAAATTATTGCGAAATCCCACATTAGGTGGCAATTTTGAATTTTACGAGGCCCGAATCAGAAGAACAATACAATATTTTACCTTGACTTGATCTTTGACCTAGCAACCTCAAGTAGGTCAAAGATCAAGTCAAGGTCAAATCTACCAGTTTCCCGCCAAATTCAGACATCTTGAGAAAGGCAACAGGAGTTGTCGAAAGCTAGATAGTAATGCTATAAAAGGTTAGTGAATTGAGGAATTTTAATCTATTTAATCATACACCTAACCAATGAACAATTTCGGATATAATATTTTACAATATTTGCAATCTACTCTAAATTGCCTTTTATTTGAGTATAGTAAAGCTATACTTCAAAAACATCTCAAAATTAACGCAAATTTCTGTTTTCCCAATTCACAATCCCGGGGGGGGAGGTCAGGGTGAAAAACACAGAATATATGTGAAATAGATAGATGTTGGGAATATCTCGTACTACCAACATTTCAAATCATGATATTTATTACTTTGGTTTAAAATGAAAAACATATATTTTTGTGAAAAATTCCTGCCATTTTAAAAGTGGTGGCCATCTTTTTTTGCGTAAAACTATTCACCAATATACATCTTTCCACCAAATATAAAGAAAATCCATCGACCAGTATTCGAGTTATTTTCCAAAGAGACAGACGGACTGACGGAGGGCTTCACTATTATTACCCTACTGAACTTCGTTCGTTGGGATACTAAAACAACCCATTGTCAAATTAACATAATAAAAAATGTGGTACATAAAGGATTACCAAAACTGTATCAACTGTCAAACTAACACAATCCAATCAGACACAACCCAATAATGATCCAACACAACCTAACACCAAGAGAAATCATTATAATGCAATCAATCTTTAAAAAAAAAAATTGCAATATTTCAAATATAAATTAATTACATGCATTTTTCAAAACATCACAAAAAATAATCTTTCACAAAAAGACCTTATTTTGGTAAATTCTACAGCAAATATTTCATTTTAGGTTCACAAGTTTGTTCAAACAGAAGCGGTTATTGAAGTTGTGCATTTATAGATTAATTCTCTATAATGAATCAACATCACCCAGGATTATACACTGATAGTATTCCTCTATATTTGACCCAAACACTAACTTCCAGTGCAAACAAGTCATGATTGTTATGACTGTTACAAATTAAACACCTACAGTAAATATATAATCTAGACTGAGTGCATTTGGAAATTGAATATGACATACAATATCAATAACCACAATTAACCCACGCAGAGGGAAGAAGTTATATAAGGTATTACCTGTATCCCATGTTGCCATGGCAACATCAGCCTGTAGCTTAAAGGTAACTGTGTTAAGATGAGGTATGGCTGCCATGGGAAACATATCTGAAATACAACATATTACATCTATTAAGAATATATCAAATTGGCCACCTAGTAATTTATCCAGCATGGTTAAAATCAAATCAGTTCCTGGCACTAGTCTACTAGTCTAGAATCTGTATCTATCTATCTAATTTTTAAAATCGTTGACAAAAAAGATTCATTGTGAAAGTTTGACTGAACTATGTAGATTCTAACATGCTTTAAAACAGCTACCAATACATCAATTACATAGCTTTTGAGAATATATTTTTATTGAGGTACATGTACATACCTTTCATACAAGTCTGTTGAATCATTTTTGTAAGCAACACCACTGTAGTGTCAGAACAGAAACATAGATGTCCCAACTGTTGTTCAGCAGACACACGTGCACCCCAGACATGTTGCATAAGCATACCCTGAAAGTGGCTGCTAAACTGTCCCCACAGGAGATCCATGTAACGACCTGTGAGCTGAGATTTTAATGAGTTATCAGCTGTGTCTCCCCATGTCACTGATTTACGCTTTGGATCATGTCGTGAAAAAAAAGCGGAATCATTTTGTGAGGATGGAGGTTTAGAATTAGAAATTGCCATGTTAGTTTTTGATGATAATGATGCCTTATTCCGAACTAGACCTGTGGAATGGCATACAACTTCAAAGAACTTATCTGCAAAGTCTTTCTCTTGACGGGCAAATGTGACAACAGGTGACATTTGATTGGTTAAATCTGGAGCTTTAAGGGTGCCTAATTTCAACAACGAGTCACTGATGCTTGTGTGACTCTTTGAAGCTGAACAATAATCGGAATCTATAGGTAAATTAGGCACGTAACTATCTTCCCAAATGAGGCTTGCATCAGCTTCTCCACTCTCAACTACCCCTATCACCTCCTTACTGCTAACAAAAAACTGTTGAGTAGCCCCTGCTGCATATTTGGACCGTTCACCTGCTAGAATACTTAGAATTCTTGACAAAGGGATCTGTTTAATATCATTTAGGGAAGTATATGTACTCTCCATAGTGCCTGACTGGTTAGAATTGAGCAAATTGTCTTCCTGAGAGAATCGAGATTTGACTAGATTAAGTACAGTGTTAAATTCTTCAATTCCACGGGTGATGCTCCATAAAGTTGATTGAGTCAACTGATCAAAACTAGTATGGGAAAATACTTGTAAACCTTGTCTTATGATCTTATCAATCCAATAAAGGGCAGCACATACTCCACGAGTTAGAGTATCCCTAACCGACCCCATTTGGACATATAATTTGGGCAAAAGTGGCTGTAACCAATGGTTTGTATGCATCTGTTGCTTGATATAGTTCCAGTGTCCTATGTGTACACGTAGGTCCTCACATATTGCACTTAGGCATTCAAGCCGAGTCTCTGGCATGCTAAAGCTACCTGTACTGTGAGATATGGCATACCAACTCTGACTTTCCTCACACACAATCAACTCTAAGTTTCGAATAAAACTGCTCAAAGAATTAATCCGAAAAGTATAATCCTTGATCAACTGTAAATAACATCTGGTCTCCATGAGATGCCTAAGTCTTTTATACTGCTGGCCAAGGGGTACACTTAGCTTACAATGAATGAAGTTATTACCCTGTGTCTTGTTTCTCTTACAGATATGACAGCCAGGGTGAAGTACTCTATAAGCCTGGCTGAGAGCTTTGGCAACACTATTGCACTGCTCAGTATCAAGTCCTGCCTTTGTACTGGTAGGAGTTGCACTCCCAGAGTCATCATTCTCTTCTTCTGAAGACCCTTGGCTTTCATCATCCTGGTTATCATCATTATCATCGCTAACATCACAATGGGTTTGTTGTTGCCCTATTAGTGATCGCCGCACTGCTGGCTTGGGACGTATGTCATCATCCATTATCTGCAAGTAAAACAGGAAAGAAATTGCTTGCCATCTTCGATTGTGGTCAAGAACCTGTTAACCTATTTTTCATGGCAAAAGTTCTCAAGGAAATTGTAAGGATGACATCTTACTTCATTCATGGACTTTCAAGAGTCTCTTGAATCATGAACCTCTGCCAATAAATTTACTCAAAGGATCGGACATAAAATCTTCAGAAATTTTTTATTTCCCTGATCAGTCAGTTTATCAATAAATATAACATTGTCATACTCCAATTGACATGCACTGTTGTCAGCTTTATCTCCAATCACTTAAACCATGGGCATTCAATAGAGTGGTATGCAAATCTGTGTTATTACATGAGAACTACACAATGAGCAGTGCCATGCTTCCCTTTTTGGTAAGATTTCAAAAAGATTCAGATTGATGTATATGTTTTTAGTATTATCTTGAAGAAAAATCTATTTTGAATATGATTAAAACATGAAACATGATTATCTCATTAAAGAGTTATTAAGCAAAAAAGACCAATAAGGAAAAGCGGTATCAAAATGTTCTCTTCGAGTGTTGCATTGGGGGTAATTATTCAAGAACACATTCCAATAAAAATATAATTTGTGGGGGAATGTTCAGTTCCATTATTGCCATAATTACTGTATGATGAATCCCATTTCCTATTAAATTATCAACATGTGTGCAGACAATCATGCTTTTATTTTTGGGTTGTGTCTTTAAATCATACATGAAAAGCACAAAACAAGATTTTCCTTAGAATGTGTACAGGAAGCATTTTTTCTCAAATTTTGAAAACCTAAGACAATGCTTATGTATGAGACATGGGAAGTTACCTACCCTTCTATTGAAAGCCCACGCTTAAACCAAACACATATGTAAGCGTCTGTTGATAAAAGCACAAAATAAACGAGAGCAGATGATAATGTCCAGTTTCTGCTATTTCCAGTGATCATGATGTCTACTCCGGAGTTTGGATGTCTATTCTGAGAATGTAACGCCACTCCACATGATGTCACACCAGATTACCGAGAAACACCATGACATTTCTTCCCCTAGAAACAATAGCCACAGCTTGCTTGGGCTATGTGATCATTTGCTTTCATTGGCTGTTAGTTGTGATGTGATGTAAACTGACAGATGAACAGCATCGTACATTGCCAGAAACTACCGAATCCGGACATTATCTGTCCAGTCTGAAATTTTGAAACAAGTGACCTGGGAAAACCAAGGGCTTATTTAATACCCGGGGCTTAGTTGTATACCCAATGAAACGAGAAACAACACGACATCCGGGGTTTTGTTTGGTCTTCATTAGACAATGGTGTAAAGAGGGGTAGGATTTCTCAGACCTAGGTACCTTTTTCTGTACCATTTTGTGGTTATTTTTTACTATATGGCATTGCAATCCGTTCATATCATTAGCTGCATAATTGATTTACTTAAATATATGATATGTAAATAAGGGTTAATACGAACAGAATAAACAGGGAAATGTACTTGAAGTGGCGATTGTGTTTTCTGTCAGTCAGTCTCATCCCCCTTACCCAGCTCTATAGCGCGGTATAAGGTGACCTAATTATGCAAATAAGAAGACCCCGTTGGTTTCTTGTCAGCGCAATCAAAACGGACGGGGACAATCTTCGTCTTAACTGTTGTTTCCGAATGGTTCGTGAACGTAATTCACTGAATTATAGAAAATATGTTACGTTATAAGGATAGATTGTTTTTACTTACCAATCATCAACATTTGCTGAAATATTCAGCTCTGGAGTTTATGTCCAGAGGGGGGTGAAACACATCGTCAGAATAAATTTCAAGTTTTCACACCCCTATCATGTTTATTGGCTAATTCAAATCGGATGCGGTAAAAAAACCGAACCCCAATTTGCGTACGTTCCAGGTATTACGTTCGCCCTTGGGAAAACTATTGACAGCGCCAGTAATTAAAATCATGTAACCATTCAAACAGAAATATGAAGAAAAGATTACAGGACGAATATTGATCACCCGATGCTTGAGATGAGACCCTATCTGTTGCAAGACTAACGCCTGGCGTAACCGTCACCATGTTATTCGGTGTTTTTTAAGTAGCACAAGGATCCTGCCATGACCGTGGTAATGTTATCGTGAAAGCCTGGTATAACCGCGACAATGCTGTATTATATTAAATGCCTGCCATGAGCGTGCTAGTGTAATCGTGTAAGCCTGGCGCGACCTTTATATGACATTAATGACCTTCATGTTTCGCCTGTTGCTGTTGGTATTTTTTATGGATAAATCTTATTTATTGATCATTATAGAAAGTATATGCTTTCGAATCGAAGCTCCTTGAATGAGAGTAGAGATATAGTTTGTTCGCAAATTATTTATGAGTAAAAATTAGGTTTTCGTTGTGAAATTAATACACATTTTTAGTAGTCTTTATTTACATATTTAAGGTAGTTAAACACGAAGAAAAATTGTCATTATAGTGTTCCCATGCTACTTTAAATACAACCACGGTCATGAGAGGCCTTGCAACTATTGTCACGGTCATACGGGGCTTTAACATTACCACGGTCATGACAGGCCTTGCAATATAATATAGCATTGTCACGGTCATGACAGGCCTTGCAAGCATTGTGACGGTCATATCAGGCTTTAACGTTACCACGGTCATGACAGGCCTTATAAGCATTGTCACGGTCATATTAGGCTTTAACATTACCACGGTCATGACAGGCCTTGCAATATAATACAGCATTGTCACGGTTATACCAGGCTTACAAAATAACACTGCCACGGTCATGGCAGGATCCTTGCGCTACTTAAAAAACACCGAATAACATGGTGACGGTTACACCAGGCGTTAGTCTTGCAACAGATAGCATGTGCTTGAGATGGTGAAGGTAAAGGTCAGTAAGATGGTCATATTTTTGAGTGGTCATACTTTTGGATGTACAATTTTTGATTTCGTGTGCGGTCTTCTCATTATTTCATTGAGCCTACCACCAATGGGGACTGGATCTGGCTCGGCATCTGTGTCTTGAATGCCAATTGTCCGCAATTGTCATTTTGATGATGCAGAATTCAGATCATTGAAAGCCATTTCCCAACCTAATTAAACATTCGAAAGATAAATGAAAATAATAATTAACTACTTTATGTGAACTTACTTGTATATTACTTCAGCATAGTCGTTTAAAGTGATGGTTTTTGGCTGAAATTTAAATATTGTCTAGATCTAATATTTCATGATTTTCTTGGTCGCCATGTTGCCAAAACAATTCTTGGCGACGTATTTTATTTAATATCAATATTAATTTATGCAAATTCTTCAAGTAAAAGTACATCATGATACACACTTGCGGACAGACCTCATGTAAATGCTGTTCTGAATCCAAAATAAGTTTAGTTTCTTGCATTGAACATGTTGAAAATATTATGGCCAATAAATTATTGGCGACGTCACCAGTCATAGCGGCAAGATGCGCTATTTTACCAATTTTGCGCAGATACGACATTCATTGTATTTCGCTATTTGCCTCGACTATTACCGATTTACTTGAATAAATTACAAATATGATACAGACTATATTCGAATACATATAAGATCATTTATTTTTATAAAAATATGATCAAATTTTATTCTAATTGTATTTTCGCGTTAATAGTCATTCCTCGCGTACTATGTACTGTTGATGTAAGTTTGTGAAATTTTCGGAGAAAGTAAACACAGCTTATAAAATGTGATGACATTGCATGAATACACCATTCTATTGCTTCAGATTCATAAGGTAAGTTCATCTTTATTAGTGGAAACTGTATATTTAAGAAATATAGACCAAAGAGCAGGGGTAATATTGTCGAATACACCGCGCAGTGCTAGGCAAATAATTTATTTAAAAAATTTATACATATTTTTTATTTTGGAAGGAAGCTGCGTTACCTGGTGTATAATATATACCTCCTAGATGGAGGACTTCCCACTATCCGTGTAGGCACATTATCGCATTCTACGACCCCTTTAGATTGTGGTCGTACGCCCGTATCATTGGTAAGCCTGTCTTTCTACAATGTCGGAGAATGAACTACGCATTGCATTATTAATGACCTACCTCGATATACATTCCACAGTTTTTTAGAATTGTTAGATTGCCAATTGTATGGGTTTATTGGCAGGATGAAGATATTTTCGTTTTTGATAGCAATATTTGCGTGTAATATTTAACTTATTTTAACCGTCAAATTCCTCCATTCAGTTCCCGGCATGTCTATGTCTATGTGAATAATCTGCAAAAGGCTAATAAGCCCATATAAAGCAGATATATAATTTAACAGTGATAGAATTTGAATAGAATATGATTCTATTGCATGCACCAGTCATAAGGAAAATCCCTGGGGAATTCCCCTTCCGACATTTTGAAAATTGCTGACATATTTCCGATGTTAAAACTAAAATCTCTTCGTTCTGCCGATAAACCCATACAATTGGCGATCTAACAACAAAAAAAGAATTCTAAAATACTCTGGAATGTATCGAGGTAGGTCATTTAATAGTGCAATGTGTAGTTCATTCTCCGACATTGTAGAAAGACAGGCTTACCAATGATACGGACGTACAACCACAATCTAAAGTGGTCGGTAGGATACGATAAATCAATTGTTACTTTGGCATGAATGTAAAAAAGACAAAACAAGTGATGAAATCAGCTCACCGGATTCCTTTATTGCAGACTGAATAAACATTTTTGGAGTAAATCCTATTTGGTTTTATTTGATCAACAATGAGTTTTTGACTTGCACTGTCTACACTCACAGACAATAATAATAATTACTAAAGAGAAAGCATTGGGGAGAGTAAGATTATCATAAATGATAACAATTAAGATCAGAATTTTTAAGAATTATGCAATGAACTACATGTATTATAATCTGTTTACAAAGAGATTAATTTGAGAGTTAAGAAACCTAATTAACATAGAACAACAGCAACCAAACATTTAAAAATTACGAAAATGATTATAGGGCCATTATATATTCCTATTCAAAGACAAATCATTTTTGATTACTTATTAAGGTGTACTGTATGTTTCATGTTTTATTTAAGCCAAATGGTGTTGTTTCCCCCCTCTCCTTCATGCAACTTACATATGTACTTTTAAATGGATGATATATTATAATGTTGTTTTTTTATTTTTATTTTTTTATTATTTTCAAAATCAAAACATATTTACATATACATTTAATCAAGAATACAAAAGTTAAGTAAGGTGTGATAATATAAAATATAAGGCTACAGTAAGTACATAAACCTGCATGCAGTAATCTCACATCTAATCTATAAGATGTAAAAAAGAATAAAATAAAGAAACACAGCAAGTACATGTCTATAAAGATGTGAAAAAAGTATATCTACATATACTATGATTTACATCTACTCTGTTAATAAAACAAGTTCAAAATTATATTATAATGTTCTTGCATAGACATATTGAATTTTGATCACAATAGGCATTACATTTCAGTTTGCAGCCATAGGCTTGTGTTTAATCCCCCATCTCAATTTCAAGTCAGAATTCTGTGGATTTTTTCATAAAAATTAAATGGGACTTAATTTGGAAAATTTCATTTAGAAACATAATGTATTTTTCTTTTTTCTGCATCCAAATCAACCAAACATATACAGGGTAGCCATGGAAAAACATGGACTTTCAAAAGATCAAAAGAATAACCATGGCTTTTGATTGCACTTTCCAAAACATCAGCGAAATAACCATGGAAAAGCATGGCTTTCGATTGCAATCAACCGACTTCCATTGCTTTTGATTGCAGTTTCCTCAACTTCAAAGAAAGTAACCATGGTTTTTGATTGCATTCTCAAATTTAAGAAATGTAATTTAAGAAAATGAGTTATTTATTTATTAAATTATTTCATATTGAATTTTATTATTGAAAATTAAAGAAAGAATAAGAAAGTAGACCTTTTACTTGGGCTTGTTTGACTTAATCTTTTTCAAAGGTTAGAAGTGTCTTGATTTACACCTTTAGCACAGATTGTGTAAATATGAATTGTTGGAAGTTCCTCTAATTTTATAATCTCCAATCCAATCATCCAATCATGATGGTGAGGCCTTTATTCATGTAAAGATGAACCTCTTTAACTCTATTTTATTGTTAATTATAAATTAACATCAAATATAATTGTCGCTGATCTTGTTCAAGAAACGCATCTATTGATCATGTCATATTAGATCAATTGGACAATCCAAAACCTGTTAGATCTCTTCAACAACAAAATGTGCAAACTAAAAGTGGTGACATATTGTTATATGGTCTTGATTTTTTGTGACCTTCAATGATCTTAATTCTCAAGGTAAAAAGGTCAAGAAGGTGTTTTTTCAACTTGCTTCAAATTGACAATTTTTTCCCAAATCATCTACAAGTTCTTAGAAGTTCAAATCTGATTTTAGATGTGAAGATTTGAGACCTTCAATGACCTTCTCAAGGTAAAAAAAGGTCAGAAAAGTATATTTTCAACTTGCTTCAATAGACCAATTTTTTTTCAAAATCATCTACAAGTTCTTATAAGTTCAAATCTGACTTTAGATTTGAGATTTGATCTACAATGACCATCTCAAGGTAAAAGAAGGTCAGAAGATCTCTTTCAACTTGCTTCAAAATTGACCTTTTTTTTTATAAAATCATGAGTTCAAATCTGGCTTTAGATTTGAATTGACCTTCAATGACCTTTTCAAGGTCCAAAAAGGTCTCTTTTCAACTTGCTTCAAAATTTTCAAAATCATAAACAAGTTCTCAGAAGTCCAAATCTAATTTTAGATTTGATAATTTGAGATTTTACCTTCAATGACCTTCTCAATGTCAAAAAGGTCAGATAGGTCTTTTCTCAAAATGAATTTTTTTTTCAAAATCATCTACAATTTCTCAGAAGTTCAAATTCGACTTTAGATTTGATCTTCACTGACCTTTCTCAAGATAAAAAGGTCAAAAGGTATTTTTTCAACTTGCTTCAAATTGACATTTTTTATAAAATCATCTACTTAAGTTCCCAGAAATTCAAATCTGACTTTAGATTTGACCTTCTCAAGGTCCAAAAAGGCCTCTTTTCATCTTGCTTAAATTTACCATTTTTTAAAAGATTATCTACTTTATCTAGTTGTCAGAAGTTCAAATCTGACTTTAGATTTGAGATTTGACCTTCGATAACCTTCCCATGGTCAAAAAGGTCAATATTTTCAACTTCCTTTCCTCAAATTGACCAATTTTTCTTTCCAAAATCATCTACAAGTTCTCAAAAGTTCAAATCTGACTTTAAATTGAACATATAATATTTTGAGTAAGTACATGTAGGTAGTGACATTTTGCCAAGTTAATGCCTTGTATAAGTCTCTTTAAAATGATGAATTTTGTTTACCAAATCAAAAGTTGACTCCAGTTCTTTGTACCACCATTTGCCACCATTTCGAATTAAGTAAAAGTAATGTATATATGCTAAATCTTTAATAGTATCTACTGTTTCTTCAGTAAATGATAAAGGATGCCTCCTGTTATCAATGAAAGAAGAAATGACATTCTGGCAGGTTCCTTGGCAGCATCATATTCAACCAAGAGTTCCTTAGCTACAAAAACTGATGCATTAAGGACATCAATACGTACAGACTTATTGACAGGGGACCAGTTGAAATCCAGTCTATTGTCTTCACCTTTGGTAAATAGACATTCTGCTGAAATTGAAGCAAGCAAGTATGGTGTTATAGGGGGTGAACGAAAGACAAAAAGACCAAATGTAAGTAATATCAAAAGGTATCACATTGAAAGTATTATTGATACAAACATACAGGACTTACAGGTGTTTACCCCGAACCCACTGGGTTCTTAGATAGAAAACATGTAATTTGGTGTACTTATTTGAAGTTTACATATGCATTTCCTTTAAGATTATTTTCAAAATATCCGACAATATCAGGCCCGTAGCCAGGATTTGCCAAGGGGGGGGGGGGGGGGTTCACATTTGACACTTTTGGCCCAAATATGACTAAAATCACTTGAGAAGTGCTCAAAATGGTGAAAAACTTCATGATTTTGAAAGAATTTTTGTCCAGGGGGGAGGTGTTCGCCCGAACCCTGCGAAGCCCCCCTGGCTACGGGCCTGGCTGCATACTGAATATTATTTAGACTTGCATCCAGTCACTTGTTTTGCGATAGGATATAGCATGTATCTTACAGAGATAATTGGGAAATGCAATTTGCAATGTTGAGAAATGGCACAAATTGGGCTAACTTCATTCAAGAGAAATCAATTTTCAAATCATTTCAGCAAGAGTACACCCATGGCCAATTGAAAGCCCTATACTGTATGACTATACATGTATACTAATTTATTATAAGTTACATCACATATATTTTGCATTTTAGACCTCACTGTTGAGCAGTCAGCCACTTTTAGGTGTTAACACTGGATTGACACACAGGCAACCATTGACGGGAAACCTCCAACTATCAAGCAGTCAGTCTTCAGTTCTTAAACAGAAAGGTGAATATTGGCTGCATATATTTTCCATCTTTTATTCAAGTTTATTTTGTTCTCTTCAAACATTTTGTTAAGTATCTCATCAAACTAAGTTTGAGAAGGAGTATTGAGGAGCAAACTTTCTGTCAATAGTATCTGCTTTTGTCAATCAGTGTTTTGTGCCATGACAAATACCTCCACTCCGAAGTTGCTGTTTCTCTAGTTGAGTAATTTAAAGAATACAAAGGCTGTAGATATCAAAGATAACTGGGATTCATTGATTTTCTGACTGTATCAGACAGGCCCTATACAGTGTATTTGCTTTAAATCTATTAAAAATATATTATGAATTAAGATCTATTAAAACCTCATCAAGATAAACCATAAACCACATTTCTTCTTTTTTAATGATGAGAATTTTCAAAATATTATTTGCTTGGTTGATTTATCCATGTCTCGGTCTACAATTTTTTATTATATTCTTTTTAAGCTCATATTTCCAGATGTGGAGAGTATCTGATCAGAATGGGTTGTTTTTAATTGAATTTTTATATGTATTTCAGGGCTGTCAGGTGTATCCCATGTTACAGGAGGTCCAAACTTACTAGGTACATCTACAGCGCCATCTAGTCTACTCACCTCCCTTACTAACAAGCTGTCAACGTTGACTGATCCAAGGTTGTTGTTTAATTATTCATAAAACATTTTGACATTCTTCATAAAATTCAGCTGTATAATATACAAAACACTGCTCTAGATATATAAGTTCAAAATGTTTGTTAACAGCTAGGGTTCATAACAGATTGAAAAAGTGATTGCCCAATTTAACATATTGGCATTCAGTCTGTTGCCCAATTAGGCAACCAGTAGCATTGTGTGAAAAGTGATTGGGAATGGCAGTCGGGCAGCTGTCAGTTTAGAACTGTTGTTAACATTGAAAATTTGAAAAAAGCTGTTTGCACTGGATTTTCATATGATAAATGTATATCAATATAATAATATAACACAGGCAGTTTACAAATATTTTGATTCCGTCCTTAGGTTGACTAACTTGGACACTAGATTGACTAATCATGCTGCAACATCAGGATTGACAACACTAGATACGAAACCCACATCAAGTTTTGGTCATGTTTCAACATCAAGTTTCCTGCCTTCAACTGTCATCAATAAAACATCAGGGATACATAACAAAAAATCTGAGCCTAAGATAGCCAACAAAAAGTCTGTGAGAAATAAACCCAAGCAAGATAAGACAAAATCCAAGAAAGCCCCCTTGAAGAAATTAGGCAAGAGGGCACACAAGGATGAGAGTATTGGAGCAAAGATTGAACGCCCATCGTATAGTTTTGATGAGCCTGATAGGAAAGTACGTAGAGTTGAACGCCCCCTATTTGTGCCCCCTGAGAAAGATGTTCGACTAATTGCTCCAGAGAAACCCTTGTATGATGTTGCTGCTATGAAGGTAAATCTAATCTTAAAAGATATTGTGTCAGACATTATTTTTACCTCTATGAATTTTCTAAAAAGTTTAATTATATTGTTATGACATATATTGGGTTAGACATATTTCTACTGACCTGTTTTGCAACCTGACCTTATTTCAAACAAATGACTTCCAAATATGGTGACAAATGATGAGATAAAAACACCTCTTTTTTGTTTTCCAGCACTCTATGCTTAATGCCGTAAGTGCATCTCTGATCCGGGCACCTGACTTCAAAGATCCTCATGATGCAACCAGGAATGACCTCTCTCATCGTGCTGACCTCATTGCTGCATATGATCCTGAGTTCATACTGAAGGTATAAGATATTGTATGCTTATACGAGGGGTGATCAATAAACAACAAACCCCTTGTACATACTTTCTACTTCATTTTGAACACTGTTTTTCAGACTGTGTTTTTCAGATTTTGTTCGATGCCCATATGATTATAATCTCTGAAAAAATGTATGTTCATTAGGTTATGTTCATGTTCTTGAATTCGACACTTTAAAACAATTAACATCATACATTTTATATTATATGCCAAGTTAAATGCCTAATAAACTAATTACCATACACTAATAACTATGTTTCACATAACATTGAATAAAAATGTCTATATAGGTGGCACTGTATACCCGCTGTGATCTGAACATCAGAACAACTGGGAACTTCATGCTGGCATATGCTGCTCACAACAAGTTGACCCGGCCATTCTTACGACGTTACTACAGCTCTAGTATACGCCTCCCATCTGATTGGATAGATGTTGCAGAGCAATACCAGGTACTTGTGATCAACAGATTTTAAAAATGAATATTTTGATCAACAAATTTTTTTCTCTAAGATTAATCTTACATTTAAAAAAAAATGATCACCACAATGAAACTAAAAATAAAGAAAGTCAGGATATTTTCAATGCGTTCATGCATACCTAATTGTTGTTGATATAACTTGTGAATGAAAGAATCTCCATGTGAGCCACCAAATTGTGCCATTTTTAGAATTGAACTCCTAGTTTTCTACAGTTCATTGCATTGTATTTCAGGCATTCTTTTATGTTGACCGCGACTTCAACTTTGGCTCTCTGCCTGCTGCGTTGAGACGTGTCATGACTGCTAAGTTTGTTAAGTTTGACAAATACCAGCTTGGTAAGTGAAGATTTACAAGTGTTACATATATGAGTAAAAATTGAATTCCATCTTTAAATGTATCACACCATTTAAAGACTTTGCCATTCCCATGCCTAGTAATTCCTTAGTTTTTTCCAAATTACTGATGGTCACCCACTTATTATGTCAAGGGAGTCTCTGTTCAATTTGGTGAGAACCCTCAGAGTCTTATTATATGTTGCACCCTAAGTGATACACATTACCTATTTCACCTTGTGGAGTGGATCATATACGAGTATTGAGAGCGTGTTTAATATCTAAAAAATTAATACCAAAAAGCCTGTTGCATTAATTAACATCAGATTTGTGAGTGCAGCATTTTACAAAAAGTACATTTAGACAATGATGTGAATTTGAAGGTAATATATGTTGCCCTGGAAAAAATCATGAGAGTTGAAACATTTACACAAAATACTGATATCAAAAGAAAAAAGAAGAAATAAAAAATAGAATATGTTGTACATGTATTGTTCTCTATTTAATATTACAGGTAAATATAACAAAGAGAGTAGTGGTAAGAAGAAAAAGAAAAAAGAGAAAAAAGAAAAACCCAAGAAATGTGCTGAGGATGCGGAAGAAATAGACAGCGAAGAGGAAGATGGTGAAGAGAAGGGTCTTGGTGATTTTTTCAAACAGGTTTCACAGGTATGTTTATAGTCTTTATGTGTTTTGCCCCTCAAATCATTAAGAAACTAATGCTGACTGTTTGACGATGATGTCTTCATGACAATTTGATGTGTACAATAAAGGAGAGAACAATGTTGCCTTAATTTCTGATGTTGTTAAATTAAATCATTGAGTGTTATTTTTATTGAATAATTGCAGTGCTGATTGCAGTTTAAGGAATAATTAGTCCAATAAAGGATGATTCCCTTTCCTCCTTTTCCTCCTTTCAGATTTCATATAAAAGTAATCTTGAGATTTGTCCCATTTAGGTTTGTCCCGTTTTGGTATTTTACAATCAAATACCGTTTATTTATTGGAATTTGATGATACAATAGCATATATACATGGCATCAAAATATGATTTCGATAGGTATCAGAAGTCAGCGACACAGAGGAGGAAATTGAGCGAAAAACCTTCACGTTGAAACAGCTTATACGCAAACTGCACATTACTGAACCTGTTGAGCATGTTATGTGCCTCATTGGCAAAAGGTAAAACAATGTACTGTTACCATGGTAACTATAATCATTGTTCTTAAATTAAAGTACAGTAGATAGGAATATATGTATATTAACTAGACTTGTAAAATATTACATTTCTAGAAAATGTTAATCTATGTTTTCTTAGAATGTGGGATCAACACTCTTTCCCCTAGGTATATAAGACTACAGTAAAACCTGTCCAATTCAAACAACACTGGCTGGCCAAAAGGTTTCTGATTTGTTCACATTTGAAGGGCTTTTAACATGGAAGTCTATGGCAGATTGATAAATGAGACCGAAAAAAGTATTCTCATTGAGAGATGTTAAGACTTATATCAGGAGAGGTGTTCAGATGTACAGCTTTTAGCCAAAGTCTATCGATGGTGCAAGCTACAGAATATCTTGAAATAAATAAAAAATCGTTTATAAGTTTTTCTTTTCTTATGTCGTCAGATTGTCAGGTAAATGTCTCTCCTGTTCTTGCTTCATGTACAACATGTGCATATTTGTCTTATAGTAGTAGGTAAACGTTTGTTGTATTTTAGATACTCTGAGGCACCTGAAGATTTCTATAAGTAGGTGAATTTTTGTTGTATTTTAGATACCCTGAGACACCTGAAGATTTCTATAAGTGTCGTCTGCCAGGGACATTTGAAGAGGAGAGAGCGGGAAAAAGGATGAAACTGCCTACTCCAGAGACCTGGGAGACACAGGTCTCCATGAAGGGCAACAAAGCCTCTACCTGGGAGGATCTTATTGGTATGTGTGGATGGTGTGTGTATAGTATCACAGTCAACATAGAATCAACATTTGTCTTTCATTTCGCTTTTACTCTGCCTCTATTTGTATACCATCTTATACTTTTCAGATCATAAGAAGTTGCCATTTATGGCCATGTTACGCAACTTACGTAATATGATACAGGCAGGGATTTCCCGTAAGCACCATGATTGGGTCATCAAGAAACTCACAGATGAAGGAGCTGTTACAAACAGTAGGCAGTTCCCTTTCCGATTCTTTTCAGCATATGAAGTCCTCTCAACACTTGAGAACCAGTTTGAATACACCCGTAAGTATTGTACTTTATAAATTGGTGCACTGGTAGATTTGGAGGTTGGGCCTTAAAGGATTTAAAAAAACAAGGGTCTAAACATTTTCACTGTACTTATTTTTGCTCCCTCTCCTTGTCAATATTCAAGTTTGTGATCCTGAGGTGGAGGAAGGTTTTAAATGTTATGTGAACTTAAGTGGAATCTAAAAGGAGTTGTGTTGGTATTTGTGATATTTTCCAGAACAAGTTCTGATAGATAAGGCCATTGCTGCAACATCAGGGGATTCCACTAGAGGGCGTGGTGGTGCCACAAGGGGAGGTAGGGGACGAGGCAGGGGTGGAAAATCTGGAGGCAGAAAGGAAAAACCAATAAGGTAAGTTATGCTCTTAAAGTTCAGAGTGATATAGGGAACGCCTTCGTCTGTCTGTCCATCCGTCCTTCCAGGCAATAACTCAAATACCATTAGCATGATTTGTTCATGTTTTGTACACATGCCCTATGTGAGAAGTTCTGCTCGTAAGCTGATTTTCAAAATGGCCACTCAATATGAAATGGCAGCCATTTTAGTGTCTATTTTACAGTTATTTAGGTACAATATATAAAACTATAATAGCAATGTGTTTTAAGTGTAAAAAGGTAAAGGACATTAATAAAGCTAGAAATGTATTCATAGGCATGGCACACTGTTTTATGACACTTTGATTAGAAAGTGGCCATTTTGAAAAAGACCAGCCATTTTAACGTGTGTTATTTTACATTTTTTACTATAATTCAAAATGTAAGAGCAATTTTATTCATATTTCATATGTGAGTACTCATAAGCATGATACCCTGTCTTATGACACTTTGGCTTGTAGGCGGCCATTTTGAAAAATTTACATGTATGTATGTGCGATTTTGTTGAAAACTTTTACTGTAAGTTGAAAAGTAGTGGAGTGATTTTGTTCAAATTTGATATGTGAATACTCTAAAGCATGGCACACTGTCTTATGACACATTGGCTAGTATGCGGCCATTCTGAAAATGGCCACAATTTACATTTATGGTATGTGTGTCAGATTTTGTTGAAATTTTATATGTGCCTACTTAGAAGCGTATAACACTTTCTGATGACAATTTGGGTGTAGAGCGACCATTTTTGCTATCCAATTTGTTTTTAAAAATGCCTGCCATGCCTGTTCGATGGGATTTGCTACACTTTGGTGTTTCTGTTGTCTAGTTCATTTAAAGTGAGGTTGGATGTAGGGTCTCAAAAGAGTCTTGCCTCAGATTTCTTGTATTGAGGATAGTAGAGTCCATTTCACTGTTTAACTGCGTCAGTAAAAGCTAAGAAATAAGAAATCAAAATATCATTTTGCAATAATATATGGAAAAATATATTCCTATTGTACATGAATGACATTTGTATATCTTGGATTGCTTCTAGTTTGGCTTACAAAGTGTGTGGCCTCTTATATTTGGATGCTTCTCTGCCATGTTATTTTCAATAAGATTAACATGGCTGAAATTCTTCAAATTACAAGACGGCACAGGCTTATTGCACAAAAAACTAAAAAATCTGAAATATACAAATGTCATTCATGTACATTATTGTTATGTATCTGGTTTCAGTACTGGTCATTAAGACATGTAAGATATCTGATACCCTTAACTGAGATTACCATGCTTATAGCAGACACTTGTAAGTCTGGCTTCCTACTAGAAACACATTAACTATGTAGTTCTTATATTATGTTTGATGTATAATAAAGTCTTGATACAAAACACAACATGATGTCAGATGTGGTCTCACATGAATAAGTAGATCAGAGACATTAACAATGGCAAGTGGATACTCAAAGATAGTGAAGGAATTAGACTTTTATGGCCCTAATCTCTCAGAAGATTGGAAGAGATGGAGAGAACTTATTGAATTAATGTTTGATTCTCCTGATGCCACAAAATGGAAAGAGCAAGAGAAAGCCGCTCAAATTCTCCTTCTCATTGGCGAGAAAGGAAGGGACATTTGCAGATCGTGGATTGCCACTGGGGTACTTTCGGAATCACAAAAGAAGGAGTCTAAAACCCTCCTTGATAAATTTGAGGAATATTGTACACCCAAGAAAAACAGGTCGATCCAGAGGAAAATGTTCTATGAATGCTACCAGTCGAAGGATGAGTCTATTGACGAGTTTGTTACAAAACTTAGACTTATTGGCAGAGACTGTAAATTCCCCGATCTTGACGAGATGATCGCCGACATGATATTGACACATTGCCATTCAACACAAGTCCAAGAGAAGCTACTAAGATACGAGGAGGACCTCACATTAGACCATGCTCTAAAGATAGCACGCTTATACGAGCAGAGTAACGTCCATAAGAACTCTCTAAATTCCCGCACAGAAAGTGGAAATGAGGAAGTCTGTATTGTAAAGAAGTCGCAGTCACAAAGGTGTGACAACTGTGGACTGATACATAGAGGAGGCACGTGTCCTGCGGCTAATGAGCAGTGTAACGGATGTTTAAAATTCGGGCATTTTAAAAGATGTTGCCGTAGTGGGAAATCTAGTGAAAAGGACTCTAGACAACGGAGGCAAGGCAAATCTGGAAAACGTAGAAACCCCCGAAAAGTGAACCAGGTGGAGGAATCAGTATCTTCAGAAGATGAAGTGTACTTGGGATCTGTAACCACTGAAATCCCAAACACCCAGACATCAAAGATAGCCCAGATTCTCGCCAAAACCCCAGATATACCCAACTCAAAATCCTGGATTATACAACTAAAAACAGGTGGGCACACCCTTACTGCTAAGGTGGACACAGGTGCCCAGGCCAATGTGATCTCACATGGACTGTTCAAGAGGTTAAGACACCCCCCTATGAAAGCTTCTACCACGAGGCTATTTACCTACAACAGGCAGCCCCTGGACGTCATGGGTGAAAGTGACATGTCTTGCAACTTTAAAGGGATAAACTACAAAGTGAAATTCATAGTAATTAAGGAGAAAGCTGACACTTTAATTAGTCTGCAATCAGCTATTCTCTTTGGCTTAGTTTCCAGAAGTAACATTTCTACAGTTGGCTCTGACAGCACACTGACCACAGACCAGTTGGTGTCGAATTACAGCTATTTATTTGAAGGCCTAGGCTGTCTGCCTAGCAAAGTGCACATTACCCTTGAAGAAAATGTCACGCCTGTAGTACACCCCCCTTACAAGGTAGCTGTTCATCAGAGAGACAAATTGAAAACTGAATTAGAGCGAATGCAAAAACAAGGAGTAATTGCCAAAGTGGATGAGCCTACTGATTGGGTGAATAATATAGTTTTGGTTGAGAAGAGCGACAAATCTCTTAGGATATGCCTTGATCCTGCAAACCTCAACAAAGTTATTAAAAGGGAACCGTACCCTACTGCCACAACAGAAGAGATCAGCACAAGATTGAAAGGTGCTACGAGGTTTACCAAATTGGATGCGACAACCTCATTTTGGCAACTTGAACTTGATCACGAGAGTTCGTTGCTTACTTGTTTCAACACACCCTTTGGACGATATCGATTTACACGTCTGCCATATGGACTAAACATATCTACTGAAAAGTTCCAGATGGAAGTTTGTAAAGTTCTAGAAGGAATAGATGGCGTTGAAGTCCAAGTGGATGATATATTGATTTCTGGCAAAGATGAGGAACAGCTTAAGCATCGAATGGAAGCAGTGTTCCAAAGAGCAAGTGAGAACAACCTCAAGTTTAACAGGAAGAAATGCCAGTTTAATGTGCCATCAGTCACATATGTAGGACATACATGGTCGAGAGATGGATTGAGTATCCCGGATGATCGGATAAAAGCGATAGTTGAGATGAAAACTCCTACAGATAAACAATCACTGAGTCGATTCCTTGGCATGGTGAACTATGTTGCCAAGTTCGTACCACGCTTATCAGAGCTAAACGCTCCCTTGCGAGAACTACTGAAAGAGGATATTATTTTCGAATGGAATAAGCCACAGACAGAAGCCTATGAGCAGCTGAAAAAGCTTATAACTACAGCGCCAGTTCTCAAGTTTTACGACCCCAATAAGCCATCAGTGCTGAATGTAGACTCTTCGAAAGATGGTCTTGGAGCTGTCCTACTACAGGATGATATGCCTGTATGCTACGCGTCAAAATCGCTAACCCCTGCCCAACAAAACTACTCCCAAATAGAGAAAGAGATGACGAGTATATGTTTTGGAGCAACTAAGTTTCACCAATACCTCTATGGTAAGCCCTTCGTCGTGGAAACTGATCACAAGCCCCTGGAGGTGATCGCAAAGAAAGCTCTAAATAAAGCCCCAGCTCGATTACAAAGAATGCTTTTGCAAATGCAAAAGTACGATGTCACAATCAAGTGGAAACCTGGAAAAGACATGGTTATATCAGACACTCTCAGCAGAGCATGCGTAGACAGTGACACAGAAAGCTCGAAAATTATCGCTTCCATCATGAATGACATTGATCAACAAGCAGATGGATTACTTCAAGCTTTACCCATGTCTAAACCAAAACAGCAAGAGTACAGGAACGCGACCTCGAATGACCCTGTACTGCAACGCATTATGGAATATTGCAGAATTGGATGGCCTGAAAAGACTGATGTACATGAGTCAGTCATGCCATATTACACCTTTCATGATGAACTCAGTACAGTTGATGGTCTCGTGTTCAAAGGCCTGAAACTGGTTATTCCCACATCAATGAGAGACGAAGTAAAGTCGCTTATCCATGAAAACCATATGGGAATCGTGAAAACAAAATCCATAGCAAGAGAGACACTCTTTTGGCCCAACATGAATTCCCAGATCGAGGATATGATAAAAAACTGTGACATTTGCAAAACCCACAGAAATGCCAATCAAAGAGAACCTATGATTCCACATAAGGTTCCTATGCGCCCCTGGGAAAAGATAGGTGTTGACCTATTCTCACATAACAACAAGGATTACCTAATTGGAGTAGACTACTACAGCAAGTACCCTGAGCTGTACTCACTCACCAGCACCAAGGCAAAACCCATCATAAATTGCCTAAAAGCCTCGTTCAGCAGAAATGGTATTCCCCAAACAGTATTCAGTGACAATGGTCCACCATTTCAATCATCAGAATATGTAAAATTCAGCGAAGACTACAACTTCGACATTGCTACATCGAGCCCGAATCTAGCAAATAGCAATGGCCAAATTGAAAGGACAATACAGACTGTAAAAAATATTATCAGAAAATCAGATGATATTTTCACAGCCATGCTGAATTTGAGAAACACCCCAATTGATGCGAAGATCAACAAATCCCCAGCAGAATTACTTATGGGTAGAAAATTGCGATCTAAAATTCCTACCAGTGGTGTTCTACTGA